AAAAGTATGTGCAAGAAGAGTTTCTGGGTGAAGAGTCTATGGGTCAAAAGTATATTGGTGAAAAGTATGTGCAAGAAGAGATCCTGGGTGAAGAGTCTCTGGGTGAAAAGTATATGGGTGAAAAGTATGTGAAAGAAGAGTTTCTGGGTGAAAAGTATGTGCAAGAAGAGTTTCTGGGTGAAGAGTCTCTGGGTGAAAAGTATACGGATGAACAGTATGTGCAAGAAGAGTCTCTGGGTGAAGAGTCTCTGGGTGAAAAGTATGTGCAAGAAAGTTTCTGGGTGAAGAGTCTCTGGGCGAAAAGTATATGAGTGAAAAGTATGTGCACGAAGAGTTTCTGGGTGAAGAGTCTCTGGGTGAAAAGTATATGGATGAAAAGTATGTGCAAGAAGAGTTTCTTGGTGAAGAGTCTCTGGGTGAAAAGTATATGGGTGAAAAGTATGTGCAAGAAGAGTTTCTGGGTAAAGAGTCTCTGGGTGAAGAGTCTGTGCAAGAAGAGTCTCTGGGTGAAAACTATGTACAAGAAGAGTTTCTGGATGAAGAGTCTCTGTATGAAAAGTATATGGGTGAAAAGAATATGGGTGAAAAGTATGTGCAAGAAGAGTTTCTGGGTGAAGAGTCTCTGCGTGAAAAGTATATGGATCCAACATATGTGCAAGAAGAGTTTCTTGTTGAAAAGTATATGGGTGAAAAGTTCATGGGTGAAAAGGATGTGCAAGACGAGTTTCTGGGTGACGAGTCTCTAGATGAAAAGTATATGGGTGAAAAGCATGTGCAAGAAACTTTCTGGGTGAAGAGTCTCTGGGTGAAAAGTATATGGGTGAAAAGCATGTGCAAGAAGAGTTTCTGGGTGAAGAGTCTCTGGGTGAAAAGTATATGGGTGAAAAGTATGTGCAATAAGAGTTTCTGGGTGAAGAGTCCCTGGGTGAAAAGTATATTGGTGAAAAGTATGTGCAAGAAGAGTTTCTGGGCGCAGAGTCTCTGGTTAAAAAAGTATATGGGTGAAAAGTATGTGCAAGAGGAGTCTCTGGGTGAAAAGTATATGGGTGAAAAGTATGTGCAAAAAGAGTTTCTGGGTGAAAAGTATATGGTTGAAATGTCTGTGCAAGAAGAGTTTCTGGGTGAAGAGTCGAGTCTCTGGGTGAAGAGTATATGGGTGAAATGCCTGTGCAAGAAGAGTTTCTGGGTGAAGAGTCTCTGGGTGAAAAGTATATGGGTGAAAAGTATGTGCAAGAAGAGTTTCTGGGTGAAGAGTCTCTGGGTGAAAAGTATATGAGTGAAAAGTTGAAGAGTCTATGGGTGAAAATATGTGGGTGAAGAGTATTTGTAAGAACAGTTTTTGGGTGAAGAGTCTCTGGGTGAAAAGTATATGGGTGAAAAGTATGTGCAAGAAGAGTTTCTGGGTGAAAAGTCTGTGCAATAAGGGTTTCTGGGTGAAGAGCCCCTGGATGAAAAGTATATGGGTGAAAAGTATGTGCAAGAAGAGTTTCTGGGTGAAGAGTCTCTGGGTGAAAAGTATATGGGTGAAAAGTATGTGCTAGAAGAGTTTCTTGGTGAAGAGTCTATGGGTGAAACGTATGTGGGTGAAAAGTATTTGCAAGAAGAATTTCTGGGTGAAGAGTCTCTGGGTGAAAAATATATGGGTGAAAAGTATGTGCAAGAAGAGTTTCTTGGTGAAAAGTATGTGCAAGAAGAGTTTCTGGGTAAAGAGTCCCTGGGTGAAAAGTATATGGATGAAAAGTATGTGCAAGAAGAGTTTCTTGGTGAAGAGTCTCGGATTAAAAAGTATATGGGTGAAAAGTATGTGCAAGAAGAGTTTCTGGGTGAAGAGTCTATGGGTCAAAAGTATATTGGTGAAAAGTATGTGCAAGAAGAATTTCTGGGTGAAGAGTCTCTGGGTGAAAAGTATATGGGTGAAAAGTATGTGCAAGAAGAGTTTCTGGGTGAAGAGTCTCTGGGTGAAAAATATATGGGTGAAAAGTATGTGAAAGAAGAGTTTCTGGGTGAAAAGATGTGAAAGAAGAGTTTCTGGGTGAAAAGTATGTGCAAGAAGAGTTTCTGGGTGAAGAGTTTCCGGGTGAAAAGTATATGGGTGAAAAGTATGTGCAAGAAGAGTTTCTTGGTGAAGAGTCTATGGGTGAAAATATGTGGGTGAAAAGCATTTGTAAGAAGAGTTTCTGGGTTAAAAGTATATTGGTGAAAAGTTTGTGCAAGAAGAGTTTCCGGGTGAAGAGTCTCTGGGTGAAAAGTATATGGATGAAACATGTGTGCAAGAAGAGTTTCTGGGTGAAGAGTCTCCGGGTGAAAAGTATATGGGTGAAAAGTATGTGCAATAAGAGTTTCTGGGTGAAGAGTCTCTGGGTGAAAAGTATATGTTTGAAAAGTATGTGCAAGAAGAGTCTCTGGGTGAAAAGTATATGGGTGAAATGTTTGTGCAAGAAGAGTTTCTGGGTGAAGAGTCTCTGGGTGAAGAGTATATGGGTGAAAAGTATGTGCAAGAAGAGTTTCTGGATGAAGAGCAAGAGCCTCTGTGTGAAAAGTATATGGGTGAAAAGTATATGGGTGAAAAGTATGTGCAAGACGAGTTTCTGGGTGACGAGTCTCTAGATGAAAAGTATATGGGTGAAAAGCATGTGCAAGAAACTTTCTGGGTGAAGAGTCTCTGGGTGAAAAGTATATGGGTGAAAAGTATGTGCAAGAAGAGTTTCTGGGTGAAGAGTCTCTGGGTGAAAAGTATATGGGTGAAAAGTATGTGCAAGAAGAGTTTCTGGGTGAAGAGTCTCTGAGTAAAAAGTATATGGGTGAAAAGTATGTGCAATAAGAGTTTCTGGGTGAAGAGCCCCTGGGTGAAAAGTATATGGGTGAAAAGTATGTGCAAGAAGAGTTTCTGGGTGAAGAATCTCCGGGTGAAAAGTATATGGGTGAAAAGTATGTGCAATAAGAGTTTCTGGGTGAAGAGTCTCTGGGTGAAAAGTATATGGGTGAAAAGTATATGGGTGAAAAGTATGTGCAAGAAGAGTGTCTGGGTGAAAAGTATATGGTTGAAATGTCTGTGCAAGAAGAGTTTCTGGGTGAAGAGTCTCTGGGTGAAGAGTATATGTGTGAAATGCCTGTGCAAGAAGAGTTTCTGGGTGAAGAGTCTCTGGGTGAAAAGTATATGGGTGAAAAGTATGTGCAAGAAGAGTTTCTGGGTGAAGAGTCTCTGGGTCAAAAGTATATTGGTGAAAAGTATGTGCAAGAAACTTTCTGGGTGAAGAGTCTCTGGGTGAAAAGTATATGGGTGAAAAGTATGTGCAAGAAGAGTTTCTGGGTGAAGAGTCTTTGGGTGAAAAGTATATGGGTGAAAAGTATGTGAAAGAAGAGTCTCTGGGTGAAAAGTATGTGCAAGAAGAGTTTCTGGGTGAAGAGTCTCTGGGTGAAGAGTATATGGGTGAAAAGTATGTGCAAGAAGAGTTTCTGGATGAAGAGTCTCTGTATGAAAAGTATATGGGTGAAAAGTATATGGGTGAAAGTATGTGCAATAAGAGTTTCTGGGTGAAGAGTTTCTGGGTGAAAAGTCTGTGCAATAAGAGTTTCTGGGTGAAGAGTCTCTGGGTGAAAAGTATATGGGTGAAAAGTAAGTGCAGGAAGGGTTTCTGGGTCAAAAATATTGGGGAACATAGGGATAGATGGGATGCTGGCTTTCGTTCCCCCCTTCTCAGGTATGCACAAACATTTCAATTTCAACAATAGCTTTTGGCTATTTTAGATGGTTAAACACACGCCGGTGTGAACACAAAAGTTTGTATATCACACAAATGAAAACAGCATAAAACAGCTAGATAAGAACATGAATTTGTTTTATTTGGTATATACTGTAGTTTACTTTGTGTTTGTTAATTTGACTTTGTCATGTCTACTGTGCAACTTAAAGTCGTATTATTGAAAAGTCTGACAGATTGACCGGGAATATGCGTGACTATGTGGTCTTACAACCCTATACATGTGCAATTTAGAGGAATAAATGGGTTGACGCGCTTTTTAGGGCCATGTGACTTTGGCTTATTTTAATTACAGATGCATGTTTCCTCCTGAATCAACTGTGGATTCTAATTCTTCAGACAGGAAGAATTGATTGCATAATATGATTGCACGTGTTTTGTTGCGTTTGTCGCACCTTTGGCGGTGGGGTCCATGCTGCGGGGTTGCTGCCACAGTGGGGGGGCCAGGGCAGACAAAGAAAACAAAAGAAACATGTGTCTAAGACATGGAATTTAACCCCAACAGTTTTTTCGACATGATTTTGTCTTGTCAACAAGGGAAGCAGAACACGTAGCACCCAGGTACCAAACACCAGTTTCGAACCCCTTAAAGATTCACTTGCTGGCGTTCACTTGGCCTCCGAAAGCATAGTTGGCACCTCCGGCACCCCGAGCACCGGCATCAATTTTGCCTTTGAAATTCCGCATTTTCAGCACAACAGTGTATAGACCTTCGGTACCCCCACGCCCCCCAGAACGCCCAGAACACCTGGCGCCCCCGCACCGAATTGCAAGTTGGAACCCTAAGATTCAATTGCTGGCCTCAACTTGGCCTGAACTGCCCACAGCACTTAACAGCACCACTTGGCCAGCTCTCCCACCCCCGCACCTCAACAGCAGTTTCTGCGGCAATTCCATGGCCACCACTTCCAGCAACCCCTTGGCTTGGGTGAAGCTATAGCCGAGGTGTACATACAGCAAGGTCACAATTTGCGGTGATCCCAGGTGCCGCCCCGCTTAGGCCGACGCTAGGCATGGGACGACAAATAATTACTGTTCAAAGATTTGACCAACATGTTTGCTCATTTTCTTTCATGTGCTCATGTGTTTCTTTTTTGTATTTAAGCTGTGCTATTCCTATTTTGATTATTTTTATTGGATGTATACCTCGCATTGGAATTTATTAGGGGCCCTTCTCTTAAGCATTTACTTCCTTCAAAATAGTTTAGACTATATTGTATTCTGTGAAAAATCGCCCAGGCGAACAACCAGTGGAGAATTGAAGCCGAACTGGGAAGTGATCCCATGGAGAGCGCCTTTGCACTCGCCTTGACAGCGGGCATCAAAGGAGTCGCGATGGTCATGGACCCGGAAGCGCAGCCTCTCACAAGTGACCCGACCAGAGGAAGGGTAATCATAGGCAATCATTTTTTTAATTTTGTTCTTTTTTGTGTCGGTTTTCTGATTCTATGTATGGTTGCTATTGCATTTGCTTTTGTTTCTTTTCCTAATTATTTGCTGTTCTGTTTTTTTCTGTTGTGTGTTTCTGTTTCTTCGTTTCGCTTTTCTGTTTCTTCGTTTGTTTGCTTCTCTGCTGCTCCACTTCTCTGTTTTTTGATTTCAAATGAATTCAATGGTCTGTTGTTTCTTTGCTTGTCTGCTAGTTAGCAGTAAATCAACCCTAAATAAACCTTAAACGGCCTTGAACCAACCCTAAACAAATCCCCAACCGACCTTAAATAGAAACTCAAACCAACCTTCAGGAAACCCTCAACCAACCTTCAGTAACCTTAAACCCAGATAATTAAATCCGAAACCAAACGTAGATAAACATAGATAAACCCTAAAGCAACCCTTAACCCCAATAAACTTTGGTCCAACACTTCATAAACCCTGAGCCAACCCTAAACAAACACTGATTCATCATTTAAGTAAACCCTAAACCCTCAATAAATTCAAGTGTGGCCACTAGCAGCAGCATTTGTAGTAGCGCAAATTGCAAATAGCTGCGAAAATTATGGAAAACATAGCCCCTGCGCCACGATTCCCACAAACTCCAAGCCCCAAGATAAAAACAGTTACTTTACTTCGAGTGATCCCCACCATGACATTTATACGTTTTGTTATTGGCAAATCTTCTGGCATTCTATCTGACATATCTTCTCGCATTCGATTTGGCATATCTTCTGGCATTCTACCTGACATACCTTCTGGCATATCTTCTGGCATTCTATCTGGCATATTTTCTGGCATTTTATCTGGCATATTTTCTGGCATTCTATCTGGCATATCTTCTGGCATTCTATCTGACATTTTATCTGGCGTTCTATCTGGCATATCTTCTGGCATTCTATCTGGCCGTTGAGGTCCACCGGTGCCCACTGAGCTCTGAAGGTCCCAGGTTGAGGTCCAGCGGTGCCCACTGAGCTCTGAAGGTCCCAGGTTGAGGTCCAGCGGTGCCCACTGGGCTCGGAAGGTACCTGGCTGAGGTCCAGCGGTGCCCACTGCGCTCAGAACCTTGCGGTTGAGGTCCAGCCGTGCCCACTCAGATCGGAAGCCGGCAGTTGAGGTCCAGCAGTGCCCACTGCGCGCAGAAGTTGGCGAAGAGATTGGCGAAGAGTTGGCAAGGCGGAAGAGGACATGGAAGTGGATGCAGAGGCAGTGGAGGAGAAGCTGGAGGACGAGGAGAAGAAGGAGAAGGAGGAGAAGAAGGAGGAGGAAGAGGAGGAGGAAGAAGAAGAGGAGGAGAACAACTGTGATAAAATCTAACAACCCTCACCTGGCAGGCGGGGAAAAAACGATTCCCCAAACCGACTAGAAAACAAATCGCCAAAATGCCCTCGACAAAGCGTTAAAAGAGCTGCATGGATTCAGCAGCGCTATCTTGATATTTGCGTTCTTTGTGTATCGCAGTTGATTTCCATTTTTGCGTAAATGCTTTGTCAAAAAACGGAGACTTCCCGTGCCGAGGAGTTTGGTGTCTGTTCGAATTTTTCCTGTCAAGCCGTCAGCACTTGGACCTGGTCTTCGTCACCAATGCTGGTGTGGTGGGTGATGCCGCTTGGCGGAAATGGTTTGTCTTGAAAGGTTTGGAACCCAGCAACCATTTGTTGTTTTTCTGAAAAAAACCGTGTTGGATTGTCACTGTCACTGCAAATGTCGCGGACAAATTTTTGGTTCTGCACGAGCACGTGTGTTCATCAGTTCTGCAAGACAAAGCAAACAGGTTGGCACGCGTCATTTTCGCATTCAAGTGAACTTGTGCAAGCAAGAAGCGGGGCCTGACGGTTTGCAAAAGAACAAAAAGGCCAACGGCCAGTATATTTTGTAATTACGCTGTTAATTCTCCGCCAGCCAGACTGTCGTAAGGTTCTCCTTAGAGGTTTAGTGGGTTAGCTATGACATGGGCCCCACATGAAAATGCACCCTTTGCTGCAGGATGGTTGCAGCTCCTTTGACGTTGCGTTGGAGATGGGCAGGAAGATAGAATCGTTGCAGGTTGAAACGTGCGAGGCATCTTCGGAGGAAGATAAGAAACTTGATTTCAGCAAAATCCGCACATTTCATTCTGAGCTATGAGTTAAACTATAATTTCATTTTGTTTTTGGGGTTGCTGTAGAAACATGTAACTTCGATGTATTGGTGGCCATAATCTATAAACCGATATTGCGTTTTTCTATGATCCATTGGTTTCAGTGGACCAATTTCGGGATGAAGATCAGCGGGTAATTGCAGGTTGGGTTTCTTGTCTTGAAAACATGTTTTGAATTATAGATATGAAAAGGGCGAGCGACTGATTTTGATTTCATCTGATTTTTTTTTGGTTGACTTGAACTTGAACTATAGTTTGTTGGCGTTAAGAGCGTTTTGACTCAAAAGGTGTTTTGTTGTTTCTATTGTGTATGTTGTGTGTGTGTGTTTATGTGTTTTTGTGTGTCTTGTCTTGATTTGTTTGAGCTTACAAATATGTTTTTGCAAAACATGTTTTTTGACGTTTTACAACTGTCAACCAGCCATTACACCATCAAAAAGAAGTGATCGGCAAACAGAATAGACATGTGTTCCTTTAACATGTATATATAGTATATGTTTCCGTGCTCGTGTGTTTGTTGCTGCTGAATTCACATCACGTGAGTCCTGAGAATTCCATTATTTCTGGTTAGAAAACAACTCTAAACTAGAGGCAATCTGCAGGTGACTGACTGAAACTAATACAGAAAGATAACAATCATTTTTTCCTGCTTCACTCACATGACTTTCATTGAAACTTTGAACCGCAGACAACTGGAATTTGGTTGAAATCGAATGAAACCACATGACACTAACGCAGGATTTGATTCAATGCAATCACATTCAAAGGTACTGGGTCCACAGTCCAAACTTTGCTGTAGATGAAATATGTGAAGAAGTAAGAACATGATAATATGATAGAATTATAAAACATGAAAAGGAATGTAGACATGATAAGTAGTTACACTAGACAATCATGAATATCCGGAAATTATTTACAAACAACCGGCCGGTAGCAAACAATCACCCGGTAGGCCGTTGTTTGGGTTCAAACCCACAAATCTTATCGCGCATTAAATGGGCTGCATGCATGTCCATAGCCATAGCCTTGTCATCTCGAACATTTTTCTGAAGCCCTCTATTCCGAAGTTTGCCGTATTAAGAAAAACATGTTTACCACACATGCAACGGTTTCCACATTTGTTTAGTTTATTGAATATGTTTGAACTTAAATGATGGGAACAGTTTTTCATTTTTTGGTTCAGGAACGTTCTATAACCATGTTTCTTTCAATGGCGGTTTTGCCTAAAAGTTTCGACTCAGTTGCTTGCGTTTTTTCCCAATATTTGTTTGGGAATGGTTGTTAAAAAAAACTATGGAGGCTTGGTTTTCAAGACGCTTTATTCGCCAATTTTGGGTCTTGTTTGCACCATGTTTGAGAAGGTAGGTAGATGATTCATGCTGGCAATGTGCCTGTCCAAAATTCTGCAGGTATTTTCCCACAAGCATGGCTGTAGCAAATGTGCCGATAAACATTTTGAACGCACATAGTTCTCATGCAATTTGGGGTTTTCAAAGTATGTTTTTCCTGAAAGTATTTCTGGCCAAGAAATGTTGCCACACAACATTGAAACAACAGGTTCCCTATAATATATATATATATATTATAAGGGATCCAGATACCTTCTCACAGAGTGATCGGTCTAGTGAGAATGTTATCGAGATTGAAATTGCCTCAGAAGTATAGCAGCTCCAAGACCATTCTGGACCGGGCAAAAGTTTGCTCATTTTTGGCATCTTAGCAACACCAAATGCAAGGATTGTTCAACATTCAGGGCAAAAAGTTGCAAAGATAAAGGCTTTGCAGCTATCTTGCTGCATACAACTTGAACCATCTTTCAGTCAACATCAAGCATTTTTTGTAGACCCAGATATCCAGTGATGCTCCACAGAAGCGGAATGAAGAATAGCTTCCGACTTGAAAGGTTTGTCAGTTGCATAGCAAGTTTGGGGTGTGTGGTCTTGTTGAAGTGTTTCCATCACTGTAGTTGTCACTGAAAAATCACAAATATCGAAACTACGAAAACACATCCACAGCAATCATACAGGTGATTTGTCACCACGAAAGCATACGATAGCATGCCACCACGGAGAAGACGCAAGACCTCAACAAAGTAGCAACGAACTTCTTAGACAAATGCTACCATTGTTTCAGAGTTTCGGAGTCCCCTGATACAATGGTGCCTTTTTTCTGACATGGAAGTATACCTGTTTCAAACATGTTCGGGAACTGGAACCATTGTTGGTTTAATTAGCTGCATGTTCCAGCAGAAATATACGTTTCTGCCCCACAGTGGCCAAAGTAGTCCCAGGCAACGGGTATGGAGACCATGCCAAACAAAATTATAAGTCGGAAACACTGCAAAGATCTGAAACATTACCAAAAAGTGTCTCATAATGTCTCAACTCTCAAATATGTACTTTGGATCCCTTGGGGCCGTTTTAATTGAAACGCGCGGCAACCAACTTTCTGTCGTGGCCAGGCCAAGTCTTTGACAAACAAGTGATTTCTGTTTTCATTTCCAAAACGCACGTATATTTACACTCAAGATTCGGCAATGATGCATCAAAAGCTTTCGTGTTTGGCACTTGGCTTTTCTGCAGCAAAGTTCCCTATGAAGGGTTTCAAATCAGAATATTTTGAGTCAGAGGATCAAAATCACAAGCTCATGGACATGCAGCACCATTCCCTCGTGACAAATGTGTAATTACTCAACTTGTGAACGCACTATGACTTGCAGGATTGAACCAAGATCAACGTCATACTTGACACTTTTTTTCAGTTTTTGATAATATCCATCGTGTTTGACGATTTTTGGAAAGCATCGATACTTTCAGACTACTGTAAATCCCGCTTTACAATTGGACTGGCTACTCTGGTGTTTGTCCACCAACATGAAAATCTAAAACGCTAAGTTTCTATGCACATAACACAGCACTTCTGGTGTTGAATATATACAAGTTGGGTCGATTTTTTACGTTTCTTGCTTTCTTGTGGGGCATTGGTTTTGCTTGTATGTTGGGGTGGGTCAATGTTGTCTCTACCCTGAGATGATTGCATGATTTCAGAGCTTGCTCAAGGCAAAACTGGTCACTGCTTTTTTGAGACGGGTTTAAAATCATACGTTCACACTAAATTGTTTTGTGTGACAAAGTGATAGTGTGTGCTTTTGGTTCGTATGACATGTTTGAACTAAGATTTCTAGTTTGTGTTAAAAAATCTTGATTGTGGCACCAATCCACACTATGACCCAACTGGAGTTTGCTGAAGGTTGATGCCTGGGCCATGTCAGGAAAAACATCTTCCAGTACATCATCTCGGAGTTGGGAAGCCTTGAGCGAATGGATGAGCAAATCCGAAAGCTCATGGCTGAGATGTTGACGCAAAATTTGACCAACATGGAAAAGGCAACTGGAAGTCTTGTGGACCGTCTCGGCCAGGGCAGCGCAACAGTCGCAACCCTGAATGAGAAGCGTTTAAAACCACATGTTGCTTCCGGAATTCGTCAGATTTGTTCCATTTAAACAAGTCTTGTACATGTTGTGACTTCTTGAGCACGCACAAGGCCGTGACTCGTCAGAGCTGACCCACAGCTGGCAGCGAATGAGTTTTGGCATCTCATGGCATGTTGAAAAAACGTCCAGAGATTGGGAGCTGCCGATTCCTCAACGGGTTGCTGCAGCACTTTGACGTAACTTGGAGCCGAGGAATGCTTCAGCCATCCATGTGGGATTCGGCCCCCAACCTCCATTGGCATGTGGTCAGGAACCCTTGCGTGGATCATGCAGATTTTCATGTAATTGACTCCGCATTGTCCCTGTACATGTTGTCCAAATCCAAAGAACTCTGTGGGCGAGCAGCTAATATAGATAGGTATGCGGTATGTCCGGTAATTATGTCCCATGGGTTTCTTTTGTGCGCCTGAATTGTTTGGTCCAACATTCCTGGCTGTTTGTGGCTGTTCGGTGCTAAGCATGCAATGAACGGCGATGTGAAATCACACAAATAAATTGAGTGAACCTGGGAACAGCTTCAACAAGGCATTCTCTATGGTTGACTGGATTCAAGCTTGGAAAGGGACATGAACCCCTAACAGATGGAAATGTTTTTTGCTACTCTAAGATCCTGGAATATGTTCAATTGGGAGCTCTTCCTTTGTGTGCATGTTAGAGAGTCATAGTTGCAAAGACAGGACTCATCACATTTGGTAGTTTCATGACCGTCATATACCGTCATTATGTTTCATGTACTTTCATGTTAAAATGTACAATGACTTTGGCAGCCATTCTTTGGCATCAGATCGGTGTTTTTTTCTTGCGCAGCATGGTCTCGTATACTTAATGTCTGACATTGGTGTGGTGCAACTCCTGAGGATGATCCACCTCGATTGTGCGCATTGGCTCGCCATCAGGCTGGTTTGGACAACTGGATGGGAAAGTCTGGGTCCGAAGATCAAACTCCAAAACCTGGAGGCAGTGGGATAGGGTCAAGGCAATTGGATACTTCTTGGATCGGTAGATTGAAATTATCATGGACAGAAGCATGGGGAGGAGCCAGACATGTTGTGACTTGTTTGTTTGCCCCTCCTTTGTTGGGAGGACCTTCACATTGATACCAGGTTTATGAATTATTGAAAATCCACAGCACAGAGAAATTCAGCTGTCTCCGGCCGCTGCGTTGGACCAAAGAGTGGCCAAAGACGCCACCCCCAGAGGATCGGCGACGTGGGATCTTCTCTGTAACGACGAGTTGCGGGTTACAACCGACAGGTGTGAACCCCTTGAATTGTTTGTCAGCAGGCTGGAGTTTATTTAGGGCACAAGGAGCGACAATGTACTGTATGTCAGTTGGTATGATAAACAGTGAACAAGAAAGGAATTTTGATTGAGACACATGCAGTCACATGCATCTACAATCTACATCAATCTACCAATCTACAATATAAACAGGGATGAGCACCATTGCATGAAGCTCTAACCCGCCATTAAATGAATGTTGTGTTTTCCGAAATTTGCGTAGAAATGGGATATGCCCGACATGCCCCATTTAACAGTGGATGTGCCCCATGCTCATGTCTCGCACACGTGGGAAACCACAAGATGTCCACTGATCACCCTTTGAAACGCAACCTGGCGCCGTGCAAACACGGAGCCAAAGGATGATCTACTGATTGAACATGGTCATCTTCGTGTCCCACAACAAATCGAAGAGAGGTATATATATATATACCTGGACCAGCAAACGGGCAGAAAAAAAATGTTGTTTTGGTCAATGACCCTGTTTTTAGCCAATTGACCTATTTTGGGTCAGATCGGGCAATTCAACCCAAACGACCCAAAATGGCTGAAATCTGGCTGAAATCTAATTTTCTATGTGTTTCCATGGTGTCCCAATCCCATAACTTCACTTTCTTTCACCATAGCTACACTTGTAGCACTGATTGACCCTTGACGTGTTTGACTGGATCCATGGGGTCTGCGCTTTCAGGCCTGAGCCCCCGCTCTGCTTTTTCTTTTATTCTTCGCAGAGTTGGTGCATTGTTCAGGGATTGGATGCCAATTGGCATAAATTTCAATGCTGTATGACACGTGTTGTTCAGATTCTGGCTCGCAAATCTGTACCATCTGAGACAGCTGTGTGTTTGTCTGCGTGTGGGACTTCACGCATACAACTATTTAATTGGCGTTATTCACAACACCTAAGGCAGTCATGTAAAACACGTATGATTCACGTACTCACGCCGCAGATTTGGGACAGCAACTCCCCGCAAAACAGCAAATCGTCAATTTTCAACTTTTTTCGGACCAAAACTACCCCGCAAATCGGGCGCAAAAACCCGCAATTCGCACGCAAAAACCCGCAAACGGGCGCAAATCAGGATTTCTGCCCTGATGTGCTTTGACAAAATGTATTTTATCGCAGCAAAGCTAGGTTTAAGTGGCAAATTCTTTTGATTTAGCAAAGTGGGTCAGCCACTCGCAGACACACCAATAGGTTGATTGCTGACTACATAGCTGTAACCATTCTTGGGATGCTTTTCAACACACTTAGTGGATCAGATTCTTCTTCATGAGGCCCTGTTCTACGTTTGAGAAGGGAGTAGTGCTTTTCAGTTAAAGTTAGAGATATCTTAAGATGATTTTCTTTGTCATGGCCCAGTGACTGAGGCTGGGGGTGTTGGCAAGACGAAGATTACATCGGAAGATGTTCACGGTTGTCACGTTCATGTCACCACCTGCTTTTTATATAACAATACAGACGTGTTTGCACCTTTACCGGCAGAAATTGCTGCAGTTTGGGTGATTTTGGCAAGAGACTCCACATGTGGAAATAAGACCTGGCAGAAAAAGTTGAGATCGCGCAGAAATGGCCCAAACCGGGCAAAATTACCATTATTTTCCGAAACGGGCAGAAAACCAAAACGACCAAAATTTAATGGTTGTTTGATGATACAGGTATATATAGAGAAAGAGATACATCGGGTTCCGAAATAGAATTGGGTTTAACAAAAACATCCAGGTCGGGTAAGTGATGTGGTAATGGTAATCCACTTGCGCGACAGGAGCTGCTCACAACAGCGACTGCAACGTTGTCTAGAGACTTTTGCTACCAGCAACAGAAAAGTTGCAGCACCCTGCATGTTGTTACGTCGTGCTTGCGAAAGTGACTTTGCATGACTTTGCATTGTAAGATGAAAGCAAGATTTCAAGACATATGTTCTTAGAGACGTTGAGGCGCAAGGGGTCTGTGTGCATCAGGTATCTTGATTCTCATCCAAACCATAGTGCTATTTGGTTCATGTTTCCGACTCTGTGGCCACAAGTTGAGTATGTGCTGCTGCGGTTTGAAGGTTATTTTGGATTTGATGAACCACAGTGAGATTGTTGAATGGGCTGCCTATCTTTGTGGGATCAAGACTGCAGGCAAGAAGGACAGAACTCACTCAGAGATGTGTTTTTTTCTGTGGATCAAAGTCAAATGCGCTCGTGGTAAATTGCTGGATAAGCCACCAAAATATCCAAAATGATGGGTGGCAATGCAAATGCCTTCAAGATCCTTGAACTATCACCGTTTCTCCCAAACGCAAGACTAGCGATTTGCAGAAAAGAACACAATATGGACAGCAACCGGCGGACAGCGATGCCGAAGCGGTGGTGCAGTATTTGAGCAAGCGACTTGTCAAAAGAAAAACGTGTGCTGGCACTGATGGCAAAGATCTCTTTCGGCCCTTGCTCACCATCGTCCATCCTCGATCCTCATCCTCATTTCTTCCTGTGTTTTACCATGTGTTACCAATGGTTGTGAGGGTGGTCCTGGGCAGAATGCCTCAAGTGTCATTTTTTTTTGGTCACCCTTCCCTTCCCCCATCCTCCATGGGCTGTTGTGGTTGACATGTGCATGCGGCTCGCGGCGCAATGTTTTGAAACTTCAGTTTAGTAGGTCTGCTCTCTGCTCATGAATTTCTGGACAACTGTATGATACCCATGGCTTGTAACTTGCAACTGCCTGGTTTTACCCCCTGGCCTCAATGTTTCCTTGCACACATATCATTGGCTGAATCAGACCCATGGGCACATGGACATTGCCTATGACAGAGTCCTCAATAGGATGCAGCATTTATCAGCATGCAACATGGTGAGCGCAACGCCTGATGCCTGATGCCTGATACACCATGACTTGGCGCATGATGCAGTGGCTCCTCGCAACGATTTTCGTCATTCTTTCTCCTGCTGAGCTGCGTGTCTCGAAGCAGAGCACGACTGGACAGCAGAGCACCTCGTCTGCGGTTTCAGCCCCTTGCCGGGGGTGCATTGGTCAGGGCGTTTCAACAAGTCGAAGCACGCGGGGCTACAACAGGCATCTAGTAGATGCGTTGCATTGCCACAGTGTCTACATTGGGGTCTTTGCCAGCCTTTGCCGTGAGATTTACCGTAAGGTAGCCAGATGGCCATCAGGTGAAGTGGCAACTCGCAACTCCAACTCCCAGAATTGGTAGATGTGTTCAGGTTAAACAGATTTGGTGCCATGGGAGGCCCAAATATATGTTATATGTTCATCTTTCTGTTTGCATTGGATTTTTGGCTTTGCCGCCGCAAGGTAGCCACCCTGTGCCCCAACCAGTAGCTGAAACGGGTGCCAGACATTTGCAGGTGGGCCTTGCGGGTTCACAGAAAGTCGATGTTCTGTCGTGTCTTGTTTTTTCTTTTTTTCGGCTACCTTGGTTACCTTCTTGGAATTTCCAAGACCCAAATATCACCGAGCTGTGCAGTCTCTGGCAGGACTGTGAAGTGATTGGCTGGGCGGAACTTTGTGAACGAAAGAAGTTGACGGCCGGGTCGTGCTTTCAACTCCAGTGGCTTGGTCACAGGGAATCTGAAGAATGCGATGCTTGCGTGTTGGTTGTGGGTTGGATATGGTTGGAAAAGGTTGGAAAAAGGGGTTATGGGCCAAAGGTGTTTTGAGATCAGATGTTTTGTCTTTGGTTTGTCCTGCTGAAGACATGCACTGTTTGGTTCCGGAAATTCGGAGGTGTCAGTTGCGCTCCTTTCCCATTCTTCCGAAGCTTGTCGGGTATTGCAACTTGATGACCTTTTCTAAGGACCTAAAAGACGTTAAGTATTTTTCACAATGAAAATTCAAACATACTTCATTCATCTTCATTCAAGCCCTGCAGAAACTTCTGAGTCCCGCGAAAACCGAGGCCCACTGCCGAAGCGCCACTCTGCGAGCTGCAAGGTCCGCACGGGGCGCCGGCGCAGCTGCGGCCAGCGACTGCCGGGATTCTGACGTTGACATCCGGGGAGCTACGCATCACCGGGTGCCTTAGAGGAAATCATGTCTGATTCCAGGATGGTTCTGAGCCAAGTTTGGTCACGGACCTGGTCGTCTAGAAGTGCTTGGCAAGCTTCGTTGTTCTTCAAGAGAATCTTCCAAAAGTTCCTTCAACAGATGTAGTTTGACCCTTGTCACGTTAGATTCCATGGATATAATTTAATTAATCAGTGCTGAAACTTCGTGCAGCTCCCAAGGCAAATTCAGATGACTTCTCTCCGCCTGGCAGCCAAGAACCTTGCCTGCACCAGGGGCTGTAGATAGCGAACCAAAACTATTTGTGTTTTTTTATTATTGCACTACAAGCAGTTTCTTATAGAATGCTGCAAAAAAAGACACACGCTGAATGGGGGAGGTCGGATTTATTTCATGCAGAGTTCAGGGTGCCATGTGAGACCATGAAGAATTCAACTGAGGACTGTGAACTTTGCAGATGCTCACGTCGAAGCGTGGCATGAAGCTCCATCGGACCCAAACTCCACATCTGGTGGCGCCTTTTTCAGCGAGGGGTCATTCACTTTGACAAGATCTCGCCTGACAGTTCCTTGGATTGTTTAAAAAATTAGGATTTTGTTTCGCTCTTAGTGTCAGAATCTTTCTTGAAACTGCATCAATGGCCGTGGAATGCCATAGATGATTTTGGAGTAAGCTGTTGGACGTTGGCTGTGGACACGAAGTTGGGATGCTGCAGATACCCATCCGACAACAAACGAAGGTGAGAGATGTTCGGGCTACTACTATGGATGGTGGTGGCTTCGCAGCGGGCGGAGACCTGACCCTCGGTGGCATTGCAGGGGCACAGGTGTAGTTGTTGGATGCTGTCGGGGTGTGGGATGCAATAGACCACGGTGGTATTTGAGTTTATTTGACATTTCTTGATCCACATACATTCATTAAGTATACTTGTATCTGCTGAGGGAATTCCATTTTACCAACATGGTGAGAGTTTGTCTCATCAGGTGGTCTTGAGGTTTGGGTTGTTGCTTGGGCACGGCCTTGCTCGGGACATTTCAGTTTGTTTTGAGATACGCTTTTTCTGGAGATATTTATGTGTGAACTTCATGGAACATGGGATGCACGGGGCAATGGTCCGAGCTGCAGAACTAGAAAATCCTTAGATCCCTTAGGAAGGCAGGCTGTCTAAGGAGCAGCCTGGGACACAGTCGAATTCAAAAAAGATTCGTCGTCGTTTGTCGTCCATGGAAAATGTGGAAACCGTAAAAGGTATTATTGCTGATCGCAGAAAGAACAAGAGCAGAGCCAACGCAGAGAGGCATGTGTAAGTAAGTACGCCAAGAACCTGATTGGCTTTTCTGGACTCTCTTGGCATACAAGTCAATTTTGGTGCTTCCCTTGCTACATACGCCAAAAACATAATTGGCCTTTCTGCTTCTCAATTGGCATACAAGATGCGGTGGTGGACGCAAAACTCCTCTGATGTTCACCTGTTCAATGCGGTGAGATTCGGTCCCCAAGGAATGTGCACCAAGACTCTGAAGTCGTGATCGAGAACGTTTCAGCAAAGTCTGGTGCTGGTTTCTTCGCCACGGGAAATGTCTAAATTTCGGTGGGGCACTCAGTGCGTTCGCTGCCATGCTGGAGAGCTATGTACAAGGACGCTATAACAGGCTCATTCACAGCAATTTCAATTCCCATGTACAAATTGACATGTACTGTATATTTTGTGACTCCCACGGACACGTTGCTGAAAGACACGTCTCGTTTGATTTGTTTGTTCTCTCGACTGCGTGACCCTTGTGCTATTGCTGATTGGCTCAGGACGACTCAATGATCTTCATTCAGAATGCGAGGTCCACGAAAAGTGGAGGAGGTTTTGGCATTCAAAAGGGATTGAAGGTGTCCACTGGCTCAAGACTCATCATTCGGAATGCGACAGCTGGAAATTCAGGCGGAGGATTCGATGCCATTGGAGAGGTTGAGATAGCTGGGAATTCGACGGTCAAGATTTCCAACAGTCGAGCTGAAGCCAAAAATGGAGGAGGTTTTAACACTGAAAAGGGCTTGAAGGTGTCCAACGGCTCAAGACTCATCATTCGGAATGCGGCTGCTGGAAATCATGGAGGAGGATTCTGTGCTTCGGGCAAGACCTTGATCAGCAAGTCCACCGTCAGCATTCAAAATGCCACGGCCAAGCATTATGGTGGAGGGTGTTTTGCATTTGATGAGGTTGTCATCGATGAGATGTCAAGCGTCAGCATTTCCAGTTCAAGATCGGGGCAACAGGGCGGAGGCTTCCAGACAGACAGAAGCTTGCAGGTGAGCAACAGCTCAGTTCTAAGCCTTGAGAATGTGACTGCTGGAAACCAAGGAGGAGCTTTCGCTGCCCAGGGGGAGGTTGTGATTGTTGGGTACTCGGCCGTCAACATTTCCAACAGCCGCGCTGAATCAGTGATGTTAGGCTATGGAGGAGGTTTTCGCACTGAAAAGGGCTTGAAGGTGTCCAACGGCTCAAGACTCATCATTCGGAATGCGACAGCTGGAAATTCAGGCGGAGGATTCTTTGCCAAAGGCAAGACTACCATCACCAGGTCCACCGTCAGCATTCAAAATGCCACGGCCCAGAAGCATGGTGGAGGCTTTGCTGCTAAGGCTGAGGTTGTCATTGACGAGATGTCAAGTGCAGCATTTCCACTTCAAGATCGAGATTTGGTGGAGGCTTCCATACGGACAGACGCTTGCAGGTGACCAACAGCTCAGCTGTCAGCCTTCAGAACGTGACTGCGCAGGAGTATGGAGGAGGTTTCAATGCCCTTGGAGAAGTTGAGATAGCTGGGAAGTCGACAGTCAACATTTCCAACAGTCGAGCTGAAGCCAAAAATGGAGGAGGTTTTGACACTGAAAAGGGCTTGAAGGTGTCCAACGGCTCAAGACTCATCATTCGGAATGCAACAGCTGGAAATTCAGGCGGAGGATTCTGTGCCAAAGGCAAGACTACCATCACCAGGTCCACCGTCAGCATTCAAAATGCCACGGCCCAGAAGCATGGTGGAGGCTTTGATGCATTTGATGAGGTTGTCATTGACGAGATGTCAAGCGTCAGCATTTCCACTTCAAGATCGAGATTTGGTGGAGGCTTCCATACGGACAGACGCTTGCAGGTGACCAACAGCTCAGCTGTCAGCCTTCAGAACGTGACTGCGCAGGAGTATGGAGGAGGTTTCAATGCCCTTGGAGATGTTGAGATAGCTGGGAAGTCGACAGTCAACATTTCCAACAGTCGAGCTGAAGCCAAAAATGGAGGAGGTTTTGACACTGAAAAGGGCTTGAAGGTGTCCAACGGCTCAAGACTCATCATTCGGAATGCGACAGCTGGAAATTCAGGCGGAGGATTCTATGCCAATGGCAAGACTACCATCACCAGGTCCACCGTCAGCATTCAAAATGCCACGGCCCAGCAGCACGGTGGAGGGTTTTGTGCTGAAGGAGCCGCAGTTATCCAGGATTCTACCGTGGCCATGTTCAGCACGGATGCCGGGGCAGATGGTGGTGCTTTTTCCGTGTTTGGTTTGACTTTGCACAGAAGTCAAATGTCGGTCAGCCACTCCACAGCGCTCGGATCGGGTTTCGGAGGTCGTGTAGATGGTCAAGTGCTTCTTTCAGCACAGTCTACGTTGGTGGTGAAGGATTCCCAAGGTCTCGACAATTCCGGCGTGCTGGCAGCAGGTTGCCTCCACCTACGTGATCGGTCACGCATTCTCTTTGAAGATGCCCGTGGTGGCCATGGGGTGCAGCTGCAAAATAGTGGATGCTCTGACGTTTGCTCAAACAGCACGTTCTATGTCGAAGCGGATGCAGCCCTCAACGCCAGTGGTCGCTTGAGCTCCGGTTTTCTCTCCCTTGCATCCTGCCCGAAGGAGAAGGTACATCTCTCAGGCATCCACCTGCACTCCTGGTCCAGCGCGTTGCTCAGCACCCGGCCCAGTTCCGTGATAATCGGCCAAGTGACTATCGACTATGAACCACCTATCGACAATTTGCAGGTCCTGGCTGCCAAGGACGGGCTCAAGGTGTCAGCAGGCGACAGTGTGGGATGACGGCTTCTTCAAGCTGCGAGAGATTTTGGATGTTCGGATTTTGACTAACCTATCAGAAAAAGTAGTCCTGGCAGGTCGGACTCAAGGTATGGTTGTCTTTGGACTCTGGTTTTCCAATTAAATTGCTTCATGTTTGAAAATCAGCAATTTGTTGAACTAAAGTCGCAGCAGGATGGCTTTGACATCGACTCTTTGACGGTTTCCTGCCGGAACTGCCCATGGGGTGTGACTTTCAATGCTACGAAGGATAGAAGTCTGAAAGCCGTGAGCTCTGAATATCTCGAATGCTCCAAGACCGTCACAGCGCCACTTGTTGTCACAAGTGTTGGCTTTTTCCACTGTATTCATAGAACGATAGAGGTTTCAGGTTCAATTTGTTGCTACTCGTGTGTCCAACAAATGTTTTGTACGTTCCAAGTTGCATGTCCGATATTTCCATATATTTCCTGGAAACTGCGTTGAGGTCCAAAGGCCTGACGCAACGTTGCAATTGTTCCAACTACCAGTCTCTCAGCTCGCTGGTTTCTTTTTCTTTTTCTCGGTGTTAGCTTTCCTACCGATTGGTTTAAGGGCGAAACCATGCAAAATCCACATGCTGATCAATATATAAGCTATGTGCCATATCAGCCATCTTTTGCAAGATTTGGAAGACCTCGGATTTCCAGACACAGTTTAACACCCCAATTGTCTCTTCAATTTTTGATAGTTTTTTAGGGCTGAACACTGCTTGAAGCCTGCGGATGCCAGACGGAAGGATTGCAACCGAGCACTTCCGTGGTGTAGATCTGGTGCCCTTGGAAAGCAGTTTGCAGACGTGCATGTTCTGCAGCTCGTCCTGCAACATGTTTACCCCTTGGAACCCTTTGGCCCTTTGGGATTTTGTGTGCAATCGGTTTTAGCATGTTTTGACCCCTGCCCTGTTTGTAGCTGAGGCAAACCTCACTTCCATTTTCAGAATGACGATTGCCGGAAGTGTGGAATCCTCAATGCTTGGTCTGATGGAAAGAAGGATGTTTGTCACGTTCTGCCACGCCAGAACTCAGCAGAGTTGTTCGCACTCTTGACAGGTGCAGCTGTCGTGGTCATTTTAACCTTCCTTGCTTTTGAGATTTTGCATGCTCCTTTGATGATCGTGGATGCGAAATCATATTTGGACCCAAGGCAAGCTGAAAGCAAAACCATTTTCACGTTTTCCGTGCAGGGGCCGATTGTTGATCTTCCCAAAAGCCTGGCTCGATTGGTGAACCGAATGGTGCGTTTTCGGGCAAAGGGAACGGGATTGATATGGCTAGACTACGACCAGAAGAAGTCCAACGCAATCAAAGTTCGCAGTATTGCACGCAGAAAGCTTTTGCTGCAAGACACGAGTCCCCCATTTTTTTGCGCTTCGTGCAAGGGTTCTTTGCACGCCGCTGATTTTGCTTACCTGCTTATCTTGCTCACTGCATGCATATTTGTTGGTGCAATGCTGCCTGTCATCATCAAGGTAGCAGTCATATCCGGAAACGGTGTGGGACATGTCTTCGCCGCTTTGGCCCGCAAAGAGATTTGTTTTTGTGCACAAGGGAATCTAATCAGGTGCTTTATTTTGAGAGTTTTAATTTGGTTTTGTGCTTTGCCGTGATGGAACGACACTCTGCGCCAAGGTTACTACAATTTATGTGACCCTTCCTCTGGTTGCTGTTGCTGCGCTGCTGCACTTCCCGATCGCGTGGCTGATCCAACGGTTTTATCGTAGAACGTCATTTTCGGAGGCTTTGGATGAGTACCGGAAGCAGATCAAGTGCAAGCCATTTCCAGGGCCTGATGGAACCCATCCTCGCAACCAGGGCTTGCAGGTTCTGACTTTGCGCGGCTTGTGGATGCACTTTGAGAGTTCCTCTTCTCACCAGCAATGCTTTCGTCGAGCTCGTGTGCTCACATAACTAGCTCATACTAGCTCGTTTCTCATTATAATGCTCGGATCTGAATGGATAGACAGAGTATCCTTCTTTTTGTTCACGTCAGCAAAGAATCGTAAGAGAAAACACATGTCCCAACTTGTTCAACTCAGGCTTTATTCTCGAGCGCAATATGCACTTTGTGGTTGCCAACATAGTCAGGCCCCTAACTCAAAGCAAAGGAGTTTCCTTTGTAAGTCTTTGGGGTGGCAGGCAGGTGGATTACTTTGTGTCACTTGGCATGCTTTTGGCAAAGTTGTTTTTGAATTGTTTTCTTCCAACGTTTGTGCACCTTTTGCCCAAGCCCTCCAAGCCTCCCCTGCGTTTTGGGGAAGGTCCCATTCCTGGGGCACGAGCTTTCCGCACTTCGTGTGTTCCATCCAATGCCATGCGTTGTCCAAAGAGGGCCCCACTTCTTGGATTGATGCAGCATATTGGATATGTTCGTTTGCAACTTGGAGGAGAACACTAGCCCATTTTCACGGTGTTATTTGTGTTTGACGATTATATAATGGCACAGCGTGCTGAAACCCTATAATTCCATGGAGGTTGGCATTTGCACTACCATTTCCACTACCTTTAGTGGTGGGTTGACCCCCTTGTACAAAGTGTGTTTTCGGGCCTCAAGTTGTAAAGAAAATTGGGGTTGCTCCCCCCGACTGTGTAGAGAAGTGATGTCTTTTGGGATCTATGTTTTCCAACAGTCATTTTGTAGAGAGCCATGTGTTTCAGATAGGTGAGGTGGAGAAGCATTTTGTAGGGTCACTTGGCTTTAAGGTAACCGAAGGCTTCAGCTTGTAGAAAGCCAAATCTGCCTTTTTTTGGTGGAAAAGGATCCGGCATGCCATTTCTGCTACAAATTGGTATGGCCTGTGGCCATTATAGAGGCTCTTTATTGTAATTAGTCAGGTTGTAGGGAAATCTGAGACCTTGGGCCATTGCAGCTTGTAGCAGATTATGTGATTCTGGGTCCGGGGTCCATTCCCGCCGGACTCAAACATGTTGCAGGGAGATTGAGGCACTAAAGTGATGACTAAAGTGGTTGCCAGACTTTTTTTTCAAAGCAGAGCTTCGGTGCTAAACGGTTTCGTAAGTAGAACTTGGTTGCCAGAGAGTTTTGCAAGCAGAACTTGTGTGCTAAACCCTTTTGTAATAGGACTTGGTTGCCGGAAGAACTTCTGTGGAAGCCGTACTGTCTATGCCAGATAGATACATGTTGTAGACACTTGGGGGTACGCCCCCCATTTTGTAATATAAACAGGGGGCGCATAAAGTATAAACAGGGGGTGCATAACCCCTCCACCGTTTTGTAAGAAGAACTTGGTTGCCAGACCGTTTTGTAAGCAGAACTTAGTTGCTAGACTAATTAGTTCTGTAAGCAAAACCTTGTTGCCAGACCGTTTTGTAAGCATAACTTATGTGCTAAGCCCTTTTGTAATAAGGACTTGGTTGCAATCTGCATCAAACAGAATGAAACAGGTTGAAGTTTTCAAACCGAGTAGAACAAACCGCAGACATCCGCAGACAAGATCTTAAAAGCAGCAGGTGTTCTGGGACTCTGGTTATCTCTGGGAAAGCTGGATGTTTTTTGGAGAGTGCACTTTCTCTACAAAATGCTTGATGTTTTTTTAGATACCACATGTTTGGGCCAAAACTGCACCTCTACAAAATTACTACAAAATGTATGTTATTCAGAGATTCAGAGCTTTGAAAACGATATACTTACTTTTGAGATAGATTCAGATAGATAATTCCGAGCATGCATTTTGCAGGGCAGATTTTTTGGCCTGGAACAGCATGTTGTAGACCCTTTTGCAGCAGGTTGCCACTGCATTTTCTAATAAAAAGGTTCTGTTCTCTGAATTGTAACTACCCTATGGGGGGGGGCAACCCACCCCCGGCAATGTAAAACCCCATATAGTTTCGACTATTATTTTGAGTTTTGACGATGAATCATGGATGTTCCACCCTGCTATACGCACCAGACAGGCTACAAAACTGCGTTTATCATGTGCGAGCCTTTTGTGCCTAGTGCAATGGTGCCTGTTCCGAAAAATGTTTTGAGGCGGACATGTTCTGAAATGAGAGGAAAACACCGTTTCCAAAAAATTGATCACCTATGCTGAGGTGCATTCAAGATAGTCAACATTCACCCAAATGTTTTGGATGGAACATGTTTGACCTTTGATTCTTAAAATGCTTTGGTACAACATGTAAAGATTTCAATTCATTGGTATTTGATGCAGTCAAAACTAGCCCTAACTTGGTAGACTATACAATAGCCAAATCCTCGTACCATCAATCAAGAGCAGCAATACACAGTGAAAGTATAGTGAAATCACTCTATCAGAAGAATAGGTCTCATGGTTTGGTCCAGTCAAACCATTCCTTCGATTTGTTTAATCAAAAAACAATTATGTCAAACTATGTGTTTTGGAATTCTCAGGGCACATCAATGGTCAAACCGTTTCAAATCCCATGTTCGAACTCTTTGGATCGCAGATGCCTAGAATAACAAACGTGACTTTCTTGAAGATGGCTATGCATCAGCATATGACAGCAAATGCAAGCCGAGGGCATACATACCAGATATATATCATCCCCCCTTTTCCATGCAATTCAAGACATACCACTACTATCCTGTTAAAATTTGCCGATGCGAAAAACTGGCTGAGCCCCACTCTGACAATCGCATTTATTGCGGTCAACTTTGATGCTTTTTGTTTTTCCAATATGTCCAATTCTCTCTCCAAAAGGGTCTTCTGATTTATTCTGAGGACCTTTTCAAGAAATGATTAATCAGTAATTAGATGGACGTTTGAGTAGTCTGGTGAATGATATATTGCATATGTTGTTTGCAATTTGAAATGTAGCATGTATCTATATTTTTTTATACATACATTCAGGCGCGGCCCGCCAAAATGATATCACGGAAACCAGTCGATAGGCTTGGCTGAAGTTATTGATGGTCCCGAGGAAGCAAGTTTAGGGGGTCCGGGGGCAGAGCCGGACAAACTGGCACAAACATGGTCATGTGGGTGGTGTTTATGGTTTGTGATCTTGCAAGTTTTCCAGGCTGACGTACCAGGTAGCAAATTTCAAGGGGGTCAGAGGGGAAGCTTAGACATAGTGCTGTGATCTTGAGAATTTTCCGAGAACGCGAATGTGTAGCAAACGGGCTGAAGCTCTTGGTGCCGTATTTTAAGTGTTTGTTAAATATAATGATTGTTTGCGTTTGTTCTGCTAGGGTGCAACTTCAGTCAACAGCGCTTTTGTCTTGTTGTAATAATGTCCTTTGTGCTCTTAAAGTATTTCCTTTGCCTTTATGAAAGGCTTACGGCGCCATACCCTCTGCATTTGTTTTGCCGCTCATGCATGTATCTAGTCTGAGCTTTACAGCGTCTGGATCCGACATATTTGATGTTGTTGTTGAAATTGTTGGTTTGTTCCGATGACGGTTTTAAGTTAAGTGATAAATGGTGAGAAGTGTAAAGTGTAAAGTTTAAAGTTTAAAGGCAATATGTCCAATATATACATTTTCTTTGGTCAACTGAGTCAACTGTGTGAGTTGTGTTTGCATAGATGCCATGTGTACTGTACTGCAGGTTTGGCTGGGCCAATTATTTTAAGTATGTTTCAATGCCCACGCTTTTGTGGTACCCACTGCTTCATATAGCTATGCATTGAAATCTTGGATGACCAGCCAAACTTGCTCAGAATAACAATGGTCAAAAAACATGAAAACATTCCCAAGTATCACGGTGATTATTTGACTATGTGAATTTATATACAAAAACATTTCAATTTCAACAATAGCAGTTGGCTATTTTAGATTCTTAAACACACGCCGGTGTTAACACAAAAGTTTGTATATCACACAAATGAAAACAGCATAAAACAGCTAGATAAGAACATTATTTTGTATTATATATTTGGTACTGTAGTTTATTTTGTGTTTGGTAATTTGACTTTGTCATGTCTACTGTGCAACTTAAAGTCGTATTATTGAAAAGTCTGACAGATTGACCGGGAATATGAGTGACTATGTGGTCTTATAACCCTATACATGTGCAATTTAGAGCAATAAATGGGTTGACGCGCTTTTTAGGGCCATGTGACTTTGGCTTATTTTAATTGCAGATGCATGTTTACTCCAGAATCAACTGTGGATTCTAATTCTTCAGACAGGAAGAATTGATTGCATAATATGATTGCACGTGTTTTGTTGCGTTTGTCGCACCTTTGGCGGTGGGGTCCATGCTGCGGGGTTGCTGCTACAGTGGGGGGGCCAGGGCAGACAGAAAACAAAAGAAACATGTGTCTAAGACATGGAATTAACCCCAACAGTTTTTTCGACATGATTTTGTCTTGTCAAAAAAGGGAAGCATAACATCTAGCACCCAGGTACCAAACACCAGTTTCGAACCCCTTAAAGATTCACTTGCTGGCGTTCACTTGGCCTCCGAAAGCATAGTTGGCACCTCCGGCACCCCCAGCACCAGCATCAATTTGGCCTTTGAAATTCCGCATTTTCAGCACAACAGTGTATAGACCTTCGGTATTGCCAGCAGAAACCCCCACGCCCCCCAGAACGCCCGGAACACCTAGCGCCCCCGTACCGAATTGCAAGTTGGAACCCCCCTAAGATTCAATTGCTGGCCTCAACTTGGCCTGAACTGCCCACAGCACTTAACAGCACCACTTGGCCAGCTCTCCCACCCCCGCACCTTAACAGCAGTTTCTGCGGCAATTCCATGGCCACCACTTCCAGCAACCCCTTGGCTTGGGTGAAGCTATAAGTAAATGCCGAGGTGTACATACAGAAAGATCACAATTTGCGGTGATCCCAGGTGCCGCCCCGCTTAGGCCAATGCTAGGCATGGGTTGACAAATAATTATTGTTCAAAGGTTGGACCAACATGTTTGCTCATTTTCTTTCATGTGCTCATGTGTTCCTTATTTGCGTTAAGCTGTGCTACTCCTATTTTGATTATGTTTATTGGATGTATACCTCGCGTTGGAATTCATTAGGGGCCCTTCTCTTAAGCATTTACTTCCGTCAAAATAGTTTAGACTATATTGTATCCCGTTAAAAATCGCCCAGGCGAACAACCAGTGGAGAATTGAAGCCGAACTGGGAAATGATCCCATGGAGAGCGCCTTTGCACTCGCCTTGACAGCGGGAATCAAAGGAGTCGCGATGGTCATGGACCCGGAAGCGCAGCCCCTCACAAGTGACCCGACCAGAGGAAGGGTAATTATAAGCAATCATTCTTTTAATTTTGTTCTTGTCTGTTTTGGTTTGTTCTGATTCTATGTATGGTTGCTATTGCAATTTGCTTTTGTTTCTTTTCCTAATTATTTGCTGTTCTGTTTTTTTTTCTGTTGTGTGTGTCTGTTTCTTCGTTTCGCTTTTCTGTTTCTTCGTTTGTTTGCTTCTCTGCTGCTCGGCTTCTCTGTTTTTGATTTCAATGGTTTTTGTTTCTCTGCTGTTCTGCTCGTTAGCAGTAAATCAACCCTAAATAAACCTTAAACGGCCTTAAACCAACCCTAAACAAATCCCCAACCGACCTTAAATAGAAACTTAAAGCAACCTTCAGGAAACCCTAAACCAACCTTCAGTAACCTTAAACCCAGATAATTAAATCCGAAACCAAACGCAGATAAACATGGGTAAACTCTCAAGAAACCCTTAACCCCAATAAACTTTGGACCAACATTTCATAAACCCTAAACCAACCCTAAACAAACCCCGATTCATCTTTAATTAAACCCTAAACCCTCAATAAATCCAAGTGTGGCCACTAGCAGCATTTGTAGCGCAATTTGAAAATAGCTGCGAAAATTATCGAAAACATAGCCCCTGCGCCACGTTTCCTACAGACTCCTAGCCCCAAGATGAAAACAATTCCCCAAACAGAATAGAAAAAAATCGCAAAAACACCCTCGACAAAATGTTAAAAGAACTCCATGGATTCAGCAGCGCTATCTTGATATTTGCGTTCTTTGTGTATCGCAGTTGATTTCCAATTTTGCGGAAATGCTTTGCCAAAACACGGAGACTTCCCGTGCTGAGGAGTTTGGTGTTTGTTCGAATTTTTCCTGTCCAGCCGTCAGCACTTGGACCTGGTCTTCGTCACCAATGCTGGTGTGGTGGGTGATGCCGCTTGGCGGAAATGGTTTGTCTTAAAAAAATTGGAGCCCGGCAACCACTTGTTGTTTTTATGAAAAAACAGTGTTGGATTGTCACTGTCACTGCAAATGTCGCGGGCAAGTTCTTGGTTCTGCACGAGCACGTGTGTTCATCAGTTCTGCAAGACAAAGCAAACAAGTTGGCACGCGTCACTTTCGCATTCAAGTGAACTTGTGCAAGCAAGAAGCGGGGCCTGACGGTTTGCAAAAGAACAATTAAAGGCCAACGGCCAGTATATTTTGTAATTACGCTGTTAATTCTCCACCAACCAGACTGTCGTAAGGTTCTCCTTAGAGGCTTTGTGGGTTAGCTATGGCATGGGCCCCACTGAGACCACAAAATGAAGATATTTTCACTTTAGGCACTTAATGAAGATATTAGTAGTTATATGAACTTATCATAGAAGTGTTTTTTCTTTATTTTTACTTATTTTCACTTATTTTTCAATGTTTTTTTGATGATCAGAATTGATTATAGACGATGCATTTTTCTGTTATATATTTTTTGAAAATAGTTGTCGACCTTTTTGTTTCCTTTGGAATATGTTTTCTTGCCTTTTTTCATTGTTTTTTTTCATTCTTTTCAGGCATCATCCTTTTAGAAATCACCCTTTTCAGGATTTATCCTTTTCAGGAATTATCCTTTTCGGGACTTATCCTTTCAGGATTTTTTTTATTCAGAATGAATCCTTTTCAGGAACTATCCTTAACAGGAATCTTTCTATTCAGATTGATTTCATTTTCAGGAACAATGCTTTTCAGGAGTTATCTTCTACAGGAAATGGTTCTTCTACAGGAATATGCGCGGCTGCGAGTGACACAAAGAATCTTGAAGTACATCTGTGGAGAAATCATTCAGAGGCAAAAGGAAAAAAACATATAAAGGATGCTTCTTGGAAAGAACAATTGCTCTTTTGATGTGTCTTCTTCAATTGTATACGACTGCCCAGATGAGGCTTCGGTTACTACTTCCAAACTACATAATTCAGGGATGAAGATGGATACCTAATTTGGAAAATATTCTATTATATTTTTTTGTTGGTAAAAGATTTAAAGCTAGCTGGCTTGCTTTTTGTTTTGAAAATGTATTTTCTATAATTGCTATTTATGTTTTATTGTTCATATTGTTCTACAATTTACTTTCTTTTGATTTCGCATACTTTGTTCATACGGTTTTTTTGCTGAGATTTTGGTGGTTGATTAATCGCAGGGAATTATTAATCCTAACTTGACATTATTATAAATACTTACTTATCCTTTTTTTTCTCTATAAATATTTCCTGAATTTTCTGAAATTTCTGAATTTTCTGAAATTTCTGGATTTTCTGAATTTTCTGAATTTTCTGAATTTTCTGAATTTTCTGAATTTTCTGAATTTTCTGAATTTTCTGAATTTTCTGAATTTTCTGAATTTTCTGAATTTTCTGAAATTTCTGAATTTTCTGAATTTTCTGAATTTTCTGAATTTTCTGAATTTCTGAAATTTCTGAATTTTCTGAATTTTCTGAATTTTCTGAATTTTCTGAATTTCCTGAATTTTCTGAATTTTCTGAATTTTCTGAATTTTCTGAATTTTCTGAATTGTTTTCCTTTTAATTTAAATTGTAAATTCTGAATTTTCTGGGGGAATTTTCTGAATTTTCTGATTTTCTGAATTTTCTGAATTTTCTGGGTTTCTGAAATTTTCTGAATTTTCTGGGTTTCTGAATTTTGTGAATTTTCTGAATTTTCTGAAATTTTTGAATTTTCTGAATTTTCTGAATTTTCTGAATTTTCTGAATTTTCGGAAATGTCTGAAATTTCTGAGTTTTCTGAATTTTCTGATTTTTTCTGAATTTTCTGAATTTTCTAAATTTTCCTTTCCAGGAAGTATCCTGCAGAGAACTATTCCCTACAAGTTTTTTCCTTTCCAGGAAGTATCCTGCAGAGAACTATTCCCTACAAAAATTTTCCTTTCCAGGAAGTATCCTGCAGAGAACTATTCCCTACAATTTTTTTCCTTTCCAGGAAGTATCCTGCAGAGAACTATTCCCTACAAATGTTTTCCTTTCCAGGAAGTATCCTGCAGAGAACTATTCCCTACAATTTTTTCCTTTCCAGGAAGTATCCTGCAGAGAACTATTCCCTACAATTTTTTCCTTTCCAGGAAGTATCCTGCAGAGAACTATTCCCTACAAATGTTTCCTTTCCAGGAAGTATCCTGCAGAGAACTATTCCCTACAATTTTTTTCCTTTCCAGGAAGTATCCTGCAGAGAACTATTCCCTACACAATTTTTCCTTTCCAGGAAGTATCCTGCAGAGAACTATTCCCTACAAATGTTTTCCTTTCCAGGAAGTATCCTGCAGAGAACTATTCCCTACAATTTTTTTCCTTTCCAGGAAGTATCCTGCAGAGAACTATTCCCTACATTTTTTTTCCTTTCCAGGAAGTATCCTGCAGAGAACTATTCCCTACATTTTTTTTCCTTTCCAGGAAGTATCCTGCAGAGAACTATTCCCCACACAATTTTTCCTTTTCAGGAAGTATCCTGCAGAGAAATTGTCCCTACATTTTTTTTTCCTACCATTTTTTTTTCCAAATAGGCGCCTTCAGAGAATTGTTCTTTAGCAGCATATTCCTGTTCAGGAAGGTTTCGTCAGAAAAGTAGTGCTCTGAGACAATATTGTTTCGTCGAAAATCAACATTCCTGCGAATCTATCAAACACACATAAAAATCAAATTTCACTTCTTATCACTTCTTTTCGCTTATTTTGGCTTATTTTTGACTAATATTCTACTATATTTGCTTATATTTTCCTTATTATGTTATAAGTTCACCTAAAAATTTAGTGGAACTTATAACAAAATATTTTTGAAAAAACAATTTGAACAAGATATTAGAAGGATAATAGTAACTTATAGTATACTTATAAATTCATTAAGTGCCTAAAGTGCAAATATTTGCATTTTGTGGTCTCAGCACATGACAATGGCTGCAGGATGGTTGCAGCTCCTTTGACGTTGCGTTGGAGATGGGCAAGAAGATAGAATCGTTGCAGGTTGAAACGTGCGAGGCATCTTCGGAGGAAGATAAGAAACTTGATTTCAGCCAAATCCGCACAGTTCATTCCTCATGGAGTTAGGAGTTAAAGTAATTAATTCAATTTTGTTTTTGGGGTTGCTGTAGAAACATGTAACTTCGATCTATAAACCGATTTTTTTGAATTTTGTTTTTCTATGCCCCATTGGTTCAGAGGACCAATTTCGCCATAAAGATCAGCAGGAAATTCTAGGTCGGGTTTCTGCTCTTGAAAAACATGTTTTGAATAAATACCTAGATCTTCGATTAGCATTTTTTCTGCTCAAAGCAGTTTTTCTTTGATTTACGCTCGTTCTGAAGTTTGATGTTCACTTGAACGAAAATGCGCATTTGTGTCTTGACGGAAAGGTATTTACTTACGTTTTTTTCCCGGATATTTTTGCTTATTTCCCGGGAAAAGACGCTCATAATTTGGCTTCAAAATCCATGAAGTGCGAAAATGCCAAAAGTGGTGCAATTGTGCTCATGTGGAGAAAAACCGCTCAAAAAGCAGAAATCTCTCAAACGATCATTTATGTGTGTTTGTTCGAGGATACAGGTATAGATGTGAAAAGGGCGAGCGACTTATTTTGACTTCACACAACGTATTTTTGGTTGACTTGAACCTGAACTATAGTTTAGTTGTGTTAACCGTGTTTTGACTCAACAGGTGCGTTTTTGTTCTGTTGTGTATGTGTGTGTGTGTTTGTGTTTTGTGCGTTTTCTTGTTTTGTCGTATAGCTAACAAAATCTTAAAACATCTTAAAACTATGTTTAGCTAACAAATATGTTATGTTTGTGCAACGTTTTACAACTGTCAACCAATCATTATCACCAAAAAGAACAGATCCGCAAACAAAATAGACATGCGTTCCTTTAACGTGTATATATACCGTATATATAGTATCTATATGTTTCCGTGCTAGCGTTTGTGTTGCTGCTGACTTCACATCACGTGAGCCCTGAGAATTCAATGGTTTCTGGTTAGAAAACAACTCCAAACTAGAGGCAACCTGCAGGTGACTGACTGAAACTTATACAGAAAGATAACAACAATTTTCTCCTGCTTCACTCACATGATTTTCATTGAAACTTTGAACAGCAGACAATTGGAATTGTATTGAAATCAAATGAAACCACATGACACTTAATGCAAAATTTAATTTGATTCAATGCAATCACATGATTTTGCCCAATAAAGATACGGGGTTCACATAGTCAGGGTTGAGGCATGCTGAATTTGGTCCAAACGTTGTTGTAGATGACATATGTGCAGAAGTAAGAACATTATAATATGATAAAACATGAAAAGGAATGTATATAAACATGATAGATAATTATACGAGACAATCATTAATATCCAAAAATTATGTAGAAACAATCACCAGGTAGCAAACGATAACCAGGTAGGCCGTTGTTTGGGTTCAAACCCACAAGTCTTATCGCACATTATTTTGGCAAACATTGAGTGAAACTGTGTCATGAACGAACTGTACGTTGAATGTGCTGTATGCATGTCCATAGCCTTGTCATTTCGAACATTTTTCTGAAGCCCTCTATTCGGAAGTTTGCTGCATTAAAAAAAACATGTTTACCAAGCATTCAACGTGTTCCACACTTATTTAGTTTGTTTAATATGTTTGAACTTATATGATGGGAACAGTTTTTCATTTTTTGCTTCAGGGACATTCTAACCATGTTTCTTTCCTTGGTGGTTTTGCCCAAAAGTGTCGACTCAGTTGCTTGCGAGTTTTACTGTCGAATTATTTTGTGTGTGACTGTGTGTAAAAAAAACTATGGGGAGGTTGGTTTACAAGGCGCTTTATTCGCCAATTGTGGGTCTTGTTTGCACCATGTTTGGGAACGTAGATGATTCATGCTGGCAATGTGCATGTCCAATTTTCTGCAGATATTTTCCCACAAGCATCTCTGCAGCAAATGTGCGGATCAAAACCTTAAACGCAGATAGTTCCCATGCAATTTTGGATGTTCAAAGTATTTTCTCCTGAAAGTGTTGCTGGCCAAGAAATGCTGCCACACAACATTGAAACAACAGGTTCCGTATATATGGGATCCAGATACCTTCTCACAGAGTGATCGGCCTAGTGAGAATGTGATCGAGATTGAAATTGCCCCAGAAGTGTCGCAGCTCCAAGACCATTCTGGGCCGGGCAAAATTATCAGTCAGAAACACTACAAAAATCTAAAATGCTACCAAAAAGTGTCTCATAATGTTCTTGCATCCCAGTCACCTTCTCAAATGCACTTTGGATCCTTTGGGGTTTATTTAATTGACACGCACGTGGCCAGGCCAAGTCTTTGACCACAGGTGATTTCATGTTTTTCATTTACAAAGCACACCTTTGTACATGTCAGATTCGGCAATGGTGCATCAAAAGCTTGCATGTTTGATACTTGTTTTTTTCTGCGGCAAAGTTCCCCAGAAAATGATGAGTCAGAGGATCAAAATCGCAAGCTCATGGACTATGTGTAATTATATACTCAATTTGTCAACGCACTATGACTTGCAGGATTGAACCAAGATCAACGTCATACTTGACACTTTTTTCAGTTTTTGATAATATCCATCGTGTTTGACGATTTTTGGAAAGCATCGATACTTTCAGACTACTGTAAATCCCGCTTTACAATTGGACCGGCTACTCTGGTGTTTGTCCACCAACATGAAAATCTAAAACGCTAAGTTTCTATGCACATAACACAGCACTTCTGGTGTTGAATATATACAAGTTGGGTCGATTTTTTACGTTTCTTGCTTTCTTGTGGGGCATTGGTTTTGCTTGTATGTTGGGGTGGGTCAATGTTGTCTCTACCCTGAGATGATTGCGTGATTTCAGAGCTTGCTCAAGGATGCTCAAGGCTCAAGGCAAAACTGGTCACTATTTTTTTGAGACAGGTTTGAAATCATACGTTCTCACCAAATTGTTCTGTGTGACAAAGTGAGAGTGTTTGTGTTTGGTTCGTTTGACATGTTTGAATATGTTTATCTAAGATTTCTAGTTTGCGTTTAAAAACCGAATCCACACTACAACCCAACTGGAGTTTACTGAAGGTTGATGCCTGGACCATATCAGGAATGACATTTTCCAGTACATCATCTCCGAGTTGGGAAGCCTTGAGCGAATGGACGAGCAAATCCGAGCGCTCATGGCTGAGATGTTGATGCAAAATTTAGCCAACATGGAAAAGGCAACTGGAAGTCTTGTAGACCGTCTCGGCCAGGGCAGCGCAACAGTCGCAACCCTGAATGAGAAGCGTTTAAAACCACATGTTGCTTCCGGAATTCGTCAGATTTTTTCCATTTAAACAAGTCTTGTACGTGTTGTGACTTCTTGAGCACGCACAAGGCCGTGACTCGTCAGAGCTGACCCACAGCTGGCAGCGAATGAGTTTTGGCATCTCATGGCATGTTGAAAAAACGTCCAGAGATTGGGAGCTGCCGATTCCTCAACGGGTTGCTGCAGCACTTTGACGTAACTTGGAGCTGAGGAATGCTTCAGCCGTCCATGTGGGATTCGGACCCCAACCTCCATTGGCATGTGGTCACGAACCCTTGCCTGGATCATGCAGACTTTCGTAATTGACTCCACGTTGTCCCTTTACATGTTGTGCAAATCCAAAGAAATCTGCGGGCGAGCAGCTAATATAGATAGGTATGTCCGGTATGTCCCAGGGTTTCTTTTCTGCGCCAATGGTTTGGTCCAACATCCCTGGCTGTTTGTGGCTGTTCGGTGCTAAGCATGCAATGAACGGCGATGTGAAATCACACAAATCATTCGATTGAACCTGAGAAGAACAAGTCATTCTCTATGGTAGACAGGACTCATCACATTTGGTACTTTCATGATGTTTCATGTACTTTCATGTTAAAATGTACAATGACTTTGGCAGCCATTCTTTGGCATCAGATCGGTGTTTTTTTCTTGCGCAGCTTGGTCTCGTATACTTGATGTCTGACATTGGTGTGGTGCAACTCCTGAGGATGATCCACCTCGATTGTGCGCATTGGCTCGCCATCAGGCTGGGGTGGACAACTGGATGGGAAAGTCTGTGTCCGAAGATCAAACTCCAAAACCTGGAGGCAGTGGGATAGGGTCAGGGCAATTGGATACTTCTTGGATCGGTAGATTGAAATTATCATGGACAGAAGCATGGGGAGGAGCCAGACATGTTGTGACTTGTTTGTTTGCCCCTCCTTTGTTGGGAGGACCTTCACATTGATACCGGGTTTATGAATTATTGAAAATCCACAGCACAGAAATTCAGCTGTCTCGAAGCCAACGTGAGGCGCCATGCGCCCAAGCTGCGGCCGCTGCGTTGGACCAAAGAGTGACCAAAGACGCCACCCCCAGAGGATCGGCGACGTGGGATCTTCTCTGTAACGACGAGTTGCGGGTTACAACCGACAGGTGTGAACCCCTTGAATTGTTTGTCAGCAGGCTGGAGTTTATTTAGGGCACAAGGAGCAACAATGTACTGTATGTCAGTTGATATGATAAACAGTGAACAAGAAAGGAATTTTGATTGAGACACATGCAGTCACATGCATCTACAATCTACATCAATCTACCAATCTACAATATAAACAGGGATGAGCACCATTGCATGAAGCTCTAACCCGCCATGAAATGAATGTTGTGTTTTCCGAAATTTGCGTAGAAATGGGATATGCCCGACATGCCCAATTTAACAGTGGATGTGCCCCATGCTCATGTCTCGCACACGTGGGAAACCACAAGATGTCCACTGATCACCCTTTGAAACGCAACCTGGCGCCGTGCACACACGGAGCCAAAGGATGATCTACTGATTGAACATGGTCATCTTCGTGTCCCACTAATATATAGAGAGAGAGAGATACATCGGGTTCCGAAATAGAATTGGGTCTAACAAAAACATTCAGGTCGGGTAAGTGATGTGGTAATGGTAATCCACTTGCGCGACAGGAGCTGCTCACAACAGCGACTGCAACGTTGTCTAGAGACTTTTGCTACCAGCAACAGAAAAATTCAGCACCCTGCAGGTTGTTACGTCGTGCTTGCGAAAGTGACTTTGCATGACTTTGCATTGTAAGAGGAAATGAAAGCAAGATTTCAAGACGAATGTTCTTAGAGACGTTGAGGCGCAAGGGGTCTGTGTGCATCAGGTATCTTGATTCTCATCCAAACCATAGTGCTATTTGGTTCATGTTTCCGACTCTGTGGCCACAAGTTGAGTATGTGCTGCTGCGGTTTGAAGGTTATTTTGGATTTGATGAACCGCAGTGAGATTGTTGAATGGGCTGCCTATCTTTGTGGGATCAAGACTGCAGGCAAGAAGGACAGAACTCACTCAGAGATGTGTTTTTTTCCGTGGATCAAAGTCAAATGCGCTCGTGGTAAATTGCTGGATAAGCCGCCAAATTATCCAAAATGATGGGTGGCAATGCAAATGCCTTCAAGATCCTTGAACTATCACCGTTTCTCCCAAACGCAAGACTAGCGATTTGCAGACAAGACAACACTCTGGACAGCAACCGGCGGACAGCGGTGCCGAAGCGGTGGTGCAGTATTTGAGCAAGCGACTTGTCAAAAGAAAAACGTGTGCTGGCACTGATGGCAAAGATCTCTTTCGGCCCTTGCTCACCATCGTCCATCCTCGATCCTCATCCTCATTTCTTCCTGTGTTTTACCATGTGTTACCAATGGTTGTGAGGGGGGTCCTGGGCAGAATGCCTCAAGTGTCATTTTTTTTGGTCACCATTCCCTTCCCCCATCCTCCATGGGCTGTTGTGGTTGACATGTGCATGCGGCTCGCGGCGCAATGTTTTGAAACTTCAGTTTAGTAGGTCTGCTCTCTGCTCATGAATTTCTGGACAACTGTATGATACCCATGGCTTGTAACTTGCAACTGCCTGGTTTTACCCCCTGGCCTCAATGTTTCCTTGTACACATTAGCTGAATCAGACCCATGGGCACATGGACATGGTCTGTGGCAGAGTCCTCAATAGGATGCAGCATTTACCAGCACTCAACATGTATGGTGAGCGCAACGCCTGATGCCTGATACACCATGACTTGGCGCATGATGCAGTGGCTCCTCGCAACGATTTTCGTCATTCTTTCTCCTGCTGAGCTGCGTGTCTCGAAGCAGAGCACGACTGGACAGCAGAGCACCTCGTCTGCGGTTTCAGCCCCTTGCCGGGGGTGCATTGGTCAGGGCGTTTGAACAAGTCGAAACACGGGGGGCTACAACAGGCATCTAGTAGATGTTGCATGGCCACAATGTCTACTTGGGGGTCTTTGCCAGCCTTTGCCGTGAAATTTACCGTAAGGTAGCCAGATGGCCATCAGGTGAAGTGGCAACTCACAACTCCAACTCCCAGAATTGGTAGATGTGTTCAAGTTAAACAGATTTGGTGCCATGGGAGGCTCAAATATATGTTTATCATTGTTCATCTTTGTGTTTTATTGGATTTTTTGCTTTGCCGCCGCAAGGTAGCCACCCTGTGTCCCAACCAGTAGCTGAAACGGGTGCCAGACATCTGCAGGTGGGCCTTGAGGGTGCCCAGTTAACTTGTTCTGTTGTGCCCAGTTAACTTGTTCTTGTTTTTTTTTCCGGTTACCTTATTGGAATTTCCAAGACCCAAATATCACCGAGCTGTGCAGTCTCTGGCAGGACTGTGAAGTGATTGGCTGGGCGGAACTTTGTGAACGAAAGAAGTTGACGGCCGGGTCGTGCTTTCAACTCCAGTGGCTTGGTCACAGGGGATCTGAAGAATGCGATGCTTGCGTGTTGATTGTGGGTTGGATATGGTTTGAAAAGGTTGGGCCAAAGGTGTTTTGACATCAGATGTTTTGTCTTTGATTTGTCCTGCTGAAGACATGCACTGTTTGGTTCCGGAAATTCAGAGGTGTCAGTTGCGCTCCTTTCCCTTTCTTCCGAAGCTTGTCGGGTATTGCAACTTTATGACCTTTTCTAAGGACCTAAAAGGCGTTAAATAATGTTAAATATTTTTCATAATGAAACTTTAACACATACTTCATTCATCTTCATTGAATTCCTGCAGAAACTTCTGAGTCCCGCGCAAAACCGAGGCCCACCGCCGAAGCGCCACTCTGCGAGCTGCAAGGGCCGCACGGGGCGCCGGCGCAGCTGCGCCCAGCGACTGCTGGGATTCTGACCTTGACATCCGGGGAGCTACGCATCACCGGGTGCCTTAGAGGAAATCATGTTTGATTCCATGATGGTGCTGAGCCAAGTTTGGTCACGGACCTGCTTGGTCGTCTAGAAGTGCTTGGCAAGCTTCGTTGTTCTTCAAGAGAATCTTCCAAAAGTTCCTTCAACGGATGTAGTTTGACCCTTGTCACGTTAGATTCCATGGATATAATTAACCGGTGCTGAAACTTCGCGCAGCTCCCAAGGCAAATTCAGATGACTTCTCTCCGTCTGGCAGCCAAGAACCTTGCCTGCACCATGGGCTGTAGATAGCGAACCAAAACTATTTGTGCTTTTTATTATTGCACTACAAACAGTTTCTTATAGAATGCTGCAAAAAGACACACGCAGAATGGGGGAGGTCGGATTTGTTTCATGCAGAGTTCAGGGTGCCATGTGAGACCATGAAGAATTCAACTGAGGACTGAACTTTGCAGATGCTCACGTCGAAGCGTGGCATGAAGCTCCATCGGACCCAAACTCCACATCTGGTGGCGCCTTTTTCAGCGAGGGGTCATTCACTTTGACAAGATCTCGCCTGACAGTTCCTTGGATTGTTTAAGAATTTAGGATTTTGTTTCGCTCTTAGTGTCAGAATCTTTCTTGAAACTGCATCAATGGCCGTGGAATGCCGTGGATGATTTTGGAGTAAGCTGTTGAACGATGGCTGTGGACACGAAGTTGGGATGCTGCAGATACCCATCCAACAACAAACGAAGGTGAGAGATGTTCGCGCTACTACTATGGATGGTGGTGGCTTCGCAGCGGACGGAGACCTGACCCTCGGTGGCATTGCAGGGGCACAGGTGTAGTTGTTGGATGCTGTCGGGGTGTGGGATGCAATAGACCACGGTGGTATTTGAGTTCATTTGACAATTCTTGGTCCACATATATTCATTAAGTATACTTGTATTTGCTGAGGGAATTCCATCTTACCAACATGGTGAGAATTTGTCAGCTATGAAGTTTTCATTCTGCCAGGGACGGTGGCTGTAATCAGGTGGTCTTGAGGTTTGGGTTGTCGTTTGCGCACTTCAGTATCTCGTGACATTTCAGTTTGTTTGAGATACGCTTTTTCCGGGGAGATTTATGTGTGAACTCCATGGAACAATGGGATGCACGGGGCAATGGTCCAAGGTGCAGAACTAGAAAACCCTTAGATCCCTTAGGAAGGCAGGCTGACTAAGGAGCAGCCTGGGACACAGAAGGGGATGCGTCGTCGTTTGTCGTCCATGGGAAAATGTGTAAACCGCAAAAGGTATTGCCGATCGCAGAGAGAAGGAGAGCAGAGTCAATGCAGAGACGTATGTGTAAGTACGCCAAGAACATGATTGGCTTTTCTGGATTCTCTTGGCATACAAGATGCAATATTCATCAATATTCATTCTGTTGTGGTGGACGCAAAACTCCTCTGATGTTCACCTGTTTAATGCGATGAGATTCGGTCCCCAAGGAATGTGCGCCAAGACTCTGAAGTCGTGATCGAGAACGTTTCAGCCAAGTCTGGTGCTGGCTTCCTTGCCACGGGAAATGTCTACATTTCGGTGGGGCACTCAGTGCGTTCGCTGCCATGCTGAAGAGCTGTGTAAAAGGACGCTAACAGGCTCATTCACAGCATGCTCAATTCCCATGTAATTACACATTGACATATGTTTTTTTTGATTGTGACTCCCACGGACAGGTTGTTGAAAGACACGTCTTTTTTGATTTGCATTTGTTTTCTCAACTGACCCTTGTGCGATTGCTGATTGGCTCAGGACGACTCAATGATCTTTATTCAGAATTCCAGATCCACCAAAAACGGAGGTGGCTTCTCAACCAGACGCCTGCGAGTGTCCAACAGCTCAGTTGTCAGCCTTCAGAATGTGAGTGCTGGAAAGCATGGAGGAGGTTTCAATGCCCTTGGAGAGGTTGAAATAGCTTGGAATTCGACAGTCAAGATTTCCAACAGTCGAGCTGAATCAGGAGATGGAGGAGGTTTTGACACTGAAAAGGGCTTGAAGGTGTCCACTGGCTCAAGACTCATCATTCGGAATGCGACTGCTGGAGGGAGTGGAGGAGGATTCTTGGCCAAGGGGAAAACCTTGATCAGCAGGTCCACCATCAGCATTCAAAATGCCACGGCCCAGGAGATTGGTGGAGGGTTTTGTGCATCTGATGAAGTTGTCATCAATGAGATGTCAAGCGTCAGCATTTCCAGTTCAAGATCGGGAGTGCAGGGCGGAGGCTTCCATACGGACGAGCGCTTGCAGGTGACCAACAGCTCAGCTGTCAGCCTTCAGAACGTGATTGCGCAGGAGTATGGAGGAGGTTTCAATGCCCTTGGAGAGGTTGAGATAGCTGGGAATTCGACAGTCAAGATTTCCAACAGTCGAGCTGAAGCAAAAAATGGAGGAGGTTTTGACACTGAAAAGGGCTTGAAGGTGTCCACCGGCTCAAGACTCATCATTCGGAATGCGGCTGCTGGAAATCATGGAGGAGGATTCTTTGCCAAGGGCAAGACCTTGATCAGCAGGTCCACCATCAGCATTCAAAATGCCACGGCCCAGGAGATTGGTGGAGGGTTTTGTGCATCTGATGAAGTTGTCATCAATGAGATGTCAAGCGTCAGCATTTCCACTTCAAGATCGAGATTTGGCGGAGGCTTCCATGCGGACGAGCGCTTGCAGGTGACCAACCGCTCAGCTGTCAGCCTTCAGAACGTGACTGCACAGAAGTATGGAGGAGGTTTCAATGCCATTGGAGATGTTGAGATAGCTGGGCATTCGACGGTCAAGATTTCCAACAGTCGAGCTGAAGCCCAAAATGGAGGAGGTTTTGACACTGAAAAGGGCTTGAAGGTGTCCAACGGCTCAAGACTCATCATTCGGAATGCGGCTGCTGGAAATCATGGAGGAGGATTCTTTGCCAAGGGCAAGACCTTGATCAGCAGGTCCACCGTCAACATTCAAAATGCCACGGCCCGGCAGCTTGGTGGAGGGTTCAGTGCTGAAAGAGTTGCAGTTATCCAGGATTCTACCGTGGCCATGTTCAGCACGGATGCCGGGGCAGATGGTGGTGCTTTTGCTGTGCTTGCTCTGAGTTTGCACAGAAGTTCGATGTCCATCAGCAACTCCACTGCACTGGGATCAGGCTCCGGAGGTCTTGCAGATGGTCAAGTGCTTCTTTTATCTGAATCCAACTTGGTGGTGAAGGATGCCCAAGGTCTCGACAATTCCGGCGTGCTGGCAGCAGGTTGCCTCCACCTACGTGATCGGTCACGCATTCTCTTTGAAGATGCCCGTGGTGGCCATGGGGTGCAGCTGCAAAATAGTGGATGCTCTGACGTTTGCTCAAACAGCACCTTCTATGTCGAAGCGGATGCAGCCCTCAACGCCAGTGGTCGCTTGAGCTCCGGTTTTCTCTCCCTTGCATCCTGCCCGAAGGAGAAGGTACATCTCTCAGGCATCCACCTGCACTCCTGGTCCAGCGCGTTGCTCAGCACCCGGCCCAGTTCCGTGATAATCGGCCAAGTGACTATCGACTATGAACCACCTATCGACAATTTGCAGGTCCTGGCTGCCAAGGACGGGCTCAAGGCGTCAGCAGGCGACAGTGTGGGACGACGGCTTCTTCAAGCTGCGAGAGATTTTGGATGTTCGGGTTTTGACTAACCTGTCAGAAAAAGTAGTCCTGGCAGGTCGGACTCAAGGTATGTTTGTCTTTGGACTCTGGTTTTCCAATTAAATTGCTTCATGTTTGAAAATCAGCAATTTGTTGAACTAAAGTCGCAGCAGGATGGCTTTGACATCGACTCTTTGACGGTTTCCTGCCGGAACTGCCCATGGGGTGTGACTTTCAATGCTACGAAGGATAGAAGTCTGAAAGCCGTGAGCTCTGAATATCTCGAATGCTCCAAGACCGTCACAGCGCCACTTGTTGTCACAAGTGTTGGCTCTCCTTTACGACCACCTTAGTTGGAGGATGTATGTTTGTTGATACTCGCATTCTTTGTTGTCAAAATTATTTAGCCCAATTTCTACTCCAGGCGCTAAAACGGATTTCCACTGTATTCATATAGAACGATAGAGGTTTCAGGTGCAATTTGTTGCTACTCATATGTCTAACAAGTTTTTTGTACGTTCCAAGTTGCATGTCCGATATTGCCTGGAAACTGCGTTGAGGTCCAAAGGCCTGACGCAACGTTGCAATTGTTCCAACTACCAGTCCCTCAGCTCGCTGGTTCCTTTTTCTTTTTCTTATAGTGTTAGCTTTCCTACCGATTGGTTTTAAGGGCGAAACCATGCGACATGCTGATCAATATATAAGCCATGTGCCATATCAGCCATTCTTTTGCAAGATTTGGAAGACCTCGGATTTCCAGACAAAGTTTAACACCCCCCAACTGTGTATTCAATTGTTGGTCCTTTTTTTAGGGCTGAACATTACTTGAAGCCTGCAGATGGCAGATGGAAGGATAGTAACCGAGCACTTCCGCAATGTAGATCTGGTGCCCTTGGAAAGCAGTTTCCAGACGTGCATGTTCTGCTGCTCGTCCTGCAACATGTTTACCCCTTGGAACCCTTTGGCCCTTTGGGATTGTGTGTGCAATCGGTTTTAACATGTTTTGACCCCTGCCCTGTTTGTAGCTGAGGCAAGCCTCACTTCCATTTTCAAAATGACGATTGCCGGAAGGGTGGAATCTTCAATGCTTGGTCTGGTGGGAACGAGGACGTTTGCCATGTTTTACCACGCAGGAAGACGGAACTTATCACACTCTTGACGGGTGGAGCCGTCGTTGTCATTTTGACCTTCCTTGCATTCGAGATTTTGCATGCTCCTTTGATGATCGTGGATGCAAAATCATATTTGGACCCAAGGCAAGCTGAAAGCAAGACAATTTTCACATTTTCCGTGCAGGGGCCGATTGTTGATCTTCCCAAAAGCCTGTCTCGATTGGTGAACCGGCGGGTGCATTTTCGGGCAAGGGGAACGGGGTTGATATGGCTAGACTACGACCAGAAGAAGTCCAACACAATCAAAGTTCGAAGTATTGCACGCAGAAAGCTTTTGCTGCAAGACACGAGTCCCCCCTTTTTTTGCGCTTCGTGCAAGGGTTCTTTGCACGCCGCTGATTTTGCTTACCTGCTTATCTTGCTCACTGCATGCATATTTGTTGGTGCAATGCTGCCTGTCATCATCAAGGTAGCAGTCATATCCGGAAACGGTGTGGGACATGTCTTCGCCGCTTTGGCCTGCAAACAGATTTGTTTTTGTGCATACGTGAATCTAATCAGGTGTTTTTTTGAGAGTTTTAATTTGGTTTTGTGCTTTGCCGTGATGGAAAGACACTCTGCACCAAGGTTACTGCAATTATGTGTCTCTTCCTCTGGTTGCTGTTGCTGCGCTGCTGCACTTCCCAATCGCGTGGCTGATCCAACGGTTATATCGTAGAACGTCATTTTCGGAGGCTTTGGATGAGTACCGGAAGCAGATCAAGTGCAAGCCATTTCCAGGGCCTGATGGAACCCATCCTCGCAACCAGGGCTTGCAGGTTCTGACTTTGCGCGGCTTGTGGATGCACTTTGAGAGTTTCTCTTCTCACCAGCAATGCTTTCGTCGAGCTCGTGTGCTCACATAACTAGCTCGTTTCTCATTATAATTCTCGGATCTGAATGGATAGACAGAGTATATACCTTCTTTTTGTTCACGTCAGCAAAGAATCGTAAGAGAAAACACATGTCCCAACTTGTTCAACTCAGGCTTTATTCTCGAGCGCAATATGCACTTTGTGGTTGCCAACATAGTCAGGCCCCTAACTCAAAGCAAAGGAGTTTCCTTTGTAAGTCTTTGGGGTGGCAGGCAGGTGGATTACTTTGTGTCACTTGGCATGCTTTTGGCAAAGTTGTTTTTGAAGTGTTTTCTTACAACGTTTGTGCACCTTTTGCCCAAGCCCCTCCAAGCCTCCCCTGCGTTTTGGGGAAGGTCCCATTCCTGGGGCACGAGCTTTCCGCACTTCGTGTGTTCCATCCAATGCCATGCGTTGTCCAAAGAGGGCCCCACTTCTTGGATTGATGCAGCATATTGGATATGTTCGGTTGCAACTTGGAGGAGAACACTAGCCCATTTTCACGGTGTTATTTGTGTTTGAAGATTATATAATGGCACAGCGTGCTGAAACCCCTATAATTCCATGGAGGTTGGCATTTCCACTACCATTTCCACTACCTTTAGTGGTGGGTTGACCCCCTTGTACAAAGTGTGTTTTCGGGCCTCAAGTTGTAAAGAAAATTGGGGTTGCTCCCCCCGACTGTGTAGAGAAGTGATGTCTTTTGGGATCTATGTTTTCCAACAGTCATTTTGTAGAGAGCCATGTGTTTCAGATAGGTGAGGTGGAGAAGCATTTTGTAGGGTCACTTGGCTTTAAGGAAACCGAAGGCTTCAGTTTGTAGAAAGCCAAATCTGCCTTTTTTTGGTGGAAAAGGATCCGGCATGCCATTTCTGCTACAAATTGGTATGGCCTGTGGCCATTATAGAGGCTCTTTATTGTAATTAGTCAGGTTGTAGGGAAATCTGAGACCTTGGGCCATTGCAGCTTGTAGCAGATGATGTGATTCTGGGTCCGGGGTCCATCCCCGCCGGACTCAAACATTTTGCAGGGAGATTGAGGCACTAAAGTGATGACTAAAGTGGTTGCCAGACTTTTTTCAAAGCAGAGCTTGGGTGCCAAACGGTTTCGTAAGTAGAACTTGGTTGCCAGAGAGTTTTGCAAGCAGAACTTGTGTGCTAAACCCTTTTGTAATAGGACTTGGTTGCCGGAAGAACTTCTGTGGAATCCGTACTGTCTATGCCAGATACATGTTGTAGACACTTGGGGGTGCGCGCCCCATTTTGTAATATAAACAGGGGGCGCATAAAGTATAAACAGGGGGTGCATAACCCCTCCACCGTTTTGTAAGAAGAACTTGGTTGCCAGACCGTTTTGTAAGCAGAACTTAGTTGCTAGACTGTTTAGCTCTGTAAGCAGAACCTTGTTGCCAGACCGTTTTGTAAGCATAACTTATGTGCTAAACCCTTTTGTAATAAGGTTTGGTTGCAATCTGCATCAAACAGATTGAAACAGGTTGAAGTTTTCAATCCGAGTAGAACAAACCGCAGACATCCGCAGACAAGATCTTAAAAGCAGCAGGTGCTCTGGGACTCTGGTTATCTCAGGGAAAGCTGGGTGTTTTTTGGAGAGTGCACTTTCTCTACAAAATGCTTGATGTTTTTTTGATACCACATGTTTGGGCCAAAACTGCACCTCTACAAAATTGTATGTTATTCAGAGATTCAGAGCTTTGAACATTACTTTACTTCGGGTGATCCCCACCATGACATTTATCGATTTGTTACTGGCAAATCTTCTGGCATTCTATCTGACATATCTTCTGGCATTCTACTTGGCATATCTTCTGGCATATGTTCTGGCATATCTTCTGGCATTCCATCTGGCATTCTATCTGGCACATCTTCTGGCATATCTTCTGGCATATTATCTGGCAAATCTTCTGGCATTCTATCTGGAAGACATTCTGGCACTTTATCTGGCGTATCTTCTGGCATTCTATCTGACATTTTATCTGGCATTCTATCTGGCATACCTTCTGGCATTCTATCTGGCATATCTTCTATAACATTCTATCTGGCATATCTTCTGGCATATCATCTGGCAAATCTTATGGCATTTTATCTGGCATATCTTCTGGCATTCTATCTGACATTCTATCTGGCATATCTTCTGGCATTCTATCTGGCCGTTGAGGTCCAGCGGTGCGCACTGAGCTGGGATGGTCCCAGGTTGAGGTCCAGCGGTGCGCACTGAGCTGGGAAGGTCCCAGTTGAGGTCCAGAGGTGCGCACTGAGCTGGGAAGGTCCCAGGTTGAGGTCCAGCAGCGCGCACTGAGCTCGGAAGTTGGCGAAGAGCTTGGAGTGGAGGTGGAAGTTGATGCAGACATGGTCGAGGAGAAACTGGAGGAGGAGGCGGAGGAGGAGGCGGAGGAGGAGGAGGACAACAGCTCTGATAGAATCTATAACAACCCTCACCTGGCAGGTGGGGAACGATATACTTGCTTTTGAGATAGATTCCCTGAGTCTCGGAAATTAGTAAAAATTACATTTTTAGTGATTTACTAAATTCGACCAATTTACTGTAAATTTTTGTCCCGGAAAATTTACCTAAAAGTGCACCTAAAAATGGACCTAAATTTCATGTACTTTTTGTTTCCTAAGTTGGCGCTTTATTTTTTTTGTTGTTTTTTGGTATATTTTGTTGTGAAGAAGAGCTAGATTTATTTTTTGTTAGTTTTTGTTTAAAATACTTTTGTTGATTGTGTTTCTTTTGTGTGATTTTTTGTTTGGAGAAGATGAGTTATCATAAACAATTTTATGTGGTTAGGGAGAGAAAAGTATTGTTTTGGTTGTAGAAAAAATATACGTGTATGGTAGAAGCAACACAGAATAGTGACACAAGTAACAGTAGTGCTGCTGCAAAAGCAGTTGCAGCCCTTTTTTTTCTTCGCTAGCATTTGCAGCGAATGGCTTGCAAGTGTCTATGTTTCAGAGCAGCTACATTCCGACTGCATAATGTTTGTTGCCTGAAAGGCATGATTTCCGTGCTGTCAAGGTCACGTGACTGTCAAACCTTACAGTGCTCAGAGTTTGAAAAAAGAGAAAAGGAGTATTGGGCATTGTTGTTTCTTATATGTTTTACTTTTGTTGAGTGACTTTACTTGTGAGATTGAGTTACTTCAGTTCATGTTACTTGTGATTAGTCAATTTACTTGAGCGTTTGCATTCCTTGGTGTGATGATTGTTATCTTGAAGTTTTGCATTACTTGATACCATTTTACTTGTGCTCAAGATATTCAATGTACAAAATTGCAATTGAAACTTTGCTACAACAACATTTAAAAAACTCAAAACAAAGAAAACCAGAGATAAATAATTACAAAATTAAATCAAAAAAGATTGGAAAATATAAAAAAAAGTATATGTAGTTTATATGTAGTTTATATGCAGTTTATATGCACTTTTCAAAAGTGCATATAAACTACATGCAGTTTTCTTAAAAGTACATGTAGTTTATATGCACTTTTAAAAAGCGCATATAAACTACATAAAAATTGCATATAAATTACATATAAACTACATATAAATTACATAGAAACTACATAAAAAGTACATATAAACTACATATAAACTACATATAAATTGCACATAAATTATTTAAACTACATATAATATATCTAAAAACTATATAGAAGGTACATGATAATTACTTCCAAATTAATACCATGCAAAACAAAGACATACACAAACAATATATAAAATGTACATAGTTTCCATGTTAGTTCTTAAACTGCTTTCAAAACCCAAATCAAACTTAAATCAAAAAACCCAAAAATATACAAACAATCCAGAAAAGAACAACATCACACAGATTCTCTGCAATCTATTCTCTTGCCATTTGTTTGGTTTCATACTTATTAAATCATCAACAGTGTATCCTGTCTCCTACTTGATTTCATGATATTTTCAGCAGATAAACCATTTTCAACCGTTCTTGAGTCAGTAAAATCATAATACATCACAAGTAACTCTGCAAGGGTAGTCACAAGTAACAACTACAAAAAAAACACAAGTAAGCTCTTTTTCAATCATATTTCGTGATTTGCGAGACTAAAATCGACACAAATCACAGCACATCCCATCAAATTTCATCATCAAACCAATCTCGTAATTTTTAAATTATATGCTCAAATAACTTTTTTTGAACAAAAATAAACCAAAAAAATACATCCCAAAAATTAGGTTGCAACCTAAATTTACACCTAAATTTGCACCTAAATTTAGGTGCAAATTTAGGTGAAAAAAATTAGGTGAAAATTTACCTAAAATTTTCCACCTAAAACGAAAAATTTACCTAAATTTTTGAAATGTAATTTTTACTAATTTCCGAGACTCAGGGTTCAGATAGATAATTTCTAGCATGCATTTTGCAGGGCTGATTTTTTGGCCTGGAACAGCATGTTGTAGGCCCTTTTGCAGCAGGTTGCCACTGCATTTTCTAATAAAAAGGTTCTGTTCTCTGAATTGTAACTACCCTATGGGGGGGGGCCAACCCACCCCCGGCAACCTAAAACCCCATATAATTTCGATTATTATTTTGAGATATATTGAGTTTTGACGATGAATCAGGGATGTTCCACCCTCCTATACGCACCAGACAGGCTACAAAACTGCGTTTATTATGTGCGAGCCTTTTGTGCCTAGTGCAATGGTGCCTGTTCCGAAAAATGTTTTGAGGCGGACATGTTCTGAAATGAGAGGAAAACAACGTTTCCAAAAAAATGATCACCTATGCTGAGGTGCATTTAAGATAGTCAAACATTCACCCAAATGTTTTGGATGGAACATGTTTGACCTTTGATTCTTAAAATGCTTTGATACAACATGAAAAGATTTCAATTCATTGGTATTTGATGCAGTCAAAACTAGCCCTAACTTGGTAGACTATACAATAGCCAAACCTCGTACCATCAATCAAGAGCAGCAATACACAGTGAAAGTATAGTGAAATCACTCTATCAGAAGAATAGGTCTCATGTTTTGGTCCAGTCAAACCATTCCTTCGATGTGTTTAATTAAAACAATTATGTCAAACTATGTGTTTTGGAATTCTCAGGGCACATCAATGGTCAAATCGTTTCAAATCCCATGTTCGAACTCTTTGGATCGCAGATGCCTAGAATAACAAACGTGACTTTCTTGAAGATGGCTATACATCAGCATATGACAGTACATCAGCATATGACAGCACATGCAAGTCGAGGGCATACAGACCAGATATCTACATCTATCACCCCCCTTTTTCATGCAATTCAAGACATACCACTACTATCCTGTTAAAATTGCCGATGCGAAAAACTGGTTGAGCCCCACTCTGACAATGGCATTTATTGCGGTCAACTTTGATGTTTTTTGCTTTCCAATATTTCCAATTCTCTCTCTAAAAGGGTCTGATTTATGCTGAAGACCTTTGCAAGAGGTGATTAATGAGTAGATGGACGTTTGAGTAGTCTGGTGAATGATATATATATATATATAATATGTTGTTTGCAGTTTGAAATGTAGCATGTATACTATATATTTTAAAAAAATACATTCAGGTTCGGCCCGCCAAAATGATATCACGAAAACCATTCGATAGGCTTGGCTGAAGTTATTGATGGGAGGGAAGCAAGTTTAGGGGGTCCGGGGGCAGAGCGGGACAAACTGGCACAAACATGGTCATGTGGGTGGTGTTTATGGTTTGTGATCTTGCAAGTTTTCCAGGCTGACGTACCAGAAAGCAAATTTCAAGGGGGTCAGAGGGGAAGCTTAGACGTGGTGCTGTGATCTTGAGAATTTTCCGAGAACGCGAATGTGTAGCAAACGGGCTGAAGCTCTTGGTGCCGTATTTTAAGTTTGTGTTAAATATAATGATTGTTTGCGTTTGTTCTGCTAGGGTGCAACTTCAGTCAACAGCGCTTTTGTCTTGTTGTAATAATGTCCTTTGTGCTCTTGAAGTATTTCCTTTGCCTTTATGAAAGGCTTACAGCGCCATACCCTCTGGATTTGTTTTGCCGCTCATGTATGTATGGGTATGGGTCAAAATTAGGTACCCCAAAAATTGGATGGTTAATAGTAAACTAGACTAACATCTGTGGTTCCCTAGGTCTTCCATTTTGACCCACATCCGTATCTAGTCTGAGCTTTACAGCGTCTGGATCCGACATATTTGATGTTGTTGTTGAAATTGTTGGTTTGTTCCGATGACGGTTGTAAGTTAAGTAATAAATGGTGAGAAGTGCAAAATTTAAAGTTTAAAGGCAATATGTCCAATATATACATTTTCTTTGGTCAACTGAGTCAACTGTGTGAGTTGTGTTTGAATAGATGCCATGTGTACTTGTACTGCAGGTTGCACTTTGGCTGGGCCACTTATTTTAAGTATGTTTCAATGCCCGCGCTTTTGTGGTACCCACTGCTTCATATAGCTATGCATTGGAATCTTGGATGACCAGCCAAACTTGCTCAGAATAACAATGGTCAAAACACATTAAAACATTCCCAATTTTCACGGTGATTATTTGACTATGTGAATTTATGTGCACACATTTCAATTTCAACAATCGCAGTTGGCTATTTTAGATTGTTAAACACACGCCGGTTTGAACACAAATGTTTGTATATCACACAAATGAAAACAGCATAAAACAGCTAGATAAGATCATGATGTTGTTTTATTTGGTACTGTAGTTTTTTTTGTGTTTGTTAATTTGACTTTGTCATGTCTACTGTGCAACTTAAAGTCGTTTTACGTATTGAAAAGTCTGACAGATTGACCGGGAATATGCGTGACTATGTGGTCTTATAACCATATACATGTGCAATTTAGAGCAATAAATGGGTTGACGCGCTTTTTAGGGCCATGTGACTTTGGCTTGTTTTAATTGCAGATGCATGTTTACTCCAGAATCAACTGTGGATTCTAATTCTTCAGACAGGAAGAATTGATTGCATAATATGATTGCACGTGTTTTGTTGCGTTTGTCGCACCTTTGGCGGTGGGGTCCATGCTGCGGGGTTGCTGCTACAGAGGGGGGGGCCAGGGCAGACAAAGAGAACAAAAGAAACATGTGTCTAAGACATGGAATTAACTCAACAGTTTTTTCGACATGATTTTGTCTTGTCAACAAGGGAAGCAGAACACCTAGCACCCAGGTACCAAACACCAGTTTCGAACCCCTTAAAGATTCACTTGCTGGCGTTCACTTGGCCTCCGAAAGCATAGTTGGCACCTCCGGCACCCCCAGCACCGGCATCAATTTGGCCTTTGGAATTCCGCATTTTCAGCACAACAGTGTATAGACCTTCGGTATTGCCAGCAGGAACCCCCATGCCCCCCAGAACGCCCAGAACACCTAGCGCCCCCGTACCGAATTGCAAGTTGGAACCCTAAGATTCAATTGCTGGCCTCAACTTGGCCTGAACTGCCCACAGCACTTAACAGCACCACTTGGCCAGCTCTCCCACCCCCGCACCTCAACAGCAGTTTCTGCGGCAATTCCATGGCCACCACTTCCAGCAACCCCTTGGCTTGGGTGAAGCTATAAGTAAATGCCGAGGTGTACATACAGCAAGGTCACAATTTGCGGTGATCCCAGGTGCCGCCCCGCTTAGGCCAATGCTAACTATTGTTCAAAGGTTGGGCCAACATGTTTGCTCATTTTCTTTCATGTGCTCATGTGTTCCTTATTTGTATTTAAGCTGTGCTATTCCTATTTTGATTATGTTTATTGGATGTATACCTCGCGTTGGAATTCATTAGGGGCCCTTCTCTTAAGCATTTACTTCCTTCAAAATAGTTTAGACTATATTGTATCCTGTGAAAAATCGCCCAGGCGAACAACCAGTGGAGAATTGAAACTGCACTGGGAAGTGATCCCATGGAGAGCGCCTTTGCACTCGCCTTGACAGCGGGAATCAAAGGAGTCGCAATGGTCATGGACCCGGAAGCGCAGCCTCTCACAAGTGACCCGACCAGAGGAAGGGTAATCATAGGCAATCATTTTTTTAATTTTGTTCTTTTTTGTGTCGGTTTTTTGATTCTATGTATGGTTGCTATTGCATTTGCTTTTGTTTCTTTTCCTAATTATTTGCTGTTCTGTTTTTTTTCTGTTGTGTGTTTCTGTTTCTTCGTTTCGCTTTTCTGTTTCTTCGTTTGTTTGCTTCTCTGCTGCTCGGCTTCTCTGTTTTTGATTTCAATGGTTTTTGTTTCTCTGCTTTTCTGCTAGTTAGCAGTAAATCAACCCTAAATAAACCTTAAACGGCCTTAAACCAACCCTAAACAAATCCCCAACCGACCTTAAATAGAAACTTAAAGCGACCTTCAGGAAACCCTAAACCAATCTTCAGTAACCTTAAACCCAGATAGTTAAATCCGAAACCAAACGCAGATAAACATAGGTAAACTCTCAAGCAACCCTTAACCCCAATAAACTTTGGACCAACATTTCGTAAACCCTGAACCAACCCTAAACAAACCCTGATTCATCATTTAAGTAAACCCTAAACCCTCAATAAATTCAAGCGTGGCCACTAGCAGCATTTGTAGCGCAAATTGCAAATAGCTGCGAAAATTATCGAAAACATAGCCCCTGCGCCACGATTCCCACAGACTCCAAGCCCCAAGATAAAAACAGTTACTTTACCTCGAGTGATCCCAACCATGACATTTATACATTTTGAAACTGGCAAATCTTCTGGCATTCTATTTCATTGAGCACGCAGGAGGTGCGTAAACCGATTTCGCCACTTGGCATACGCCACATTCTTGAAGTGGCATGAAGTGGCATGAAGTGGCATGCTCACTGTTTTTGCGCCACTTGAAGTGGCATGAAGTGGCATGAAGTGGCATGCTCACTGTTTTTGCGCCACTTGAAGTGGCATGAAGTGGCATGAAGTGGCATGCTCACTGTGCGTGCGCCACTTGAAGTGGCATACGCCACTTGAAGTGGCATACGGCATACGCCACTTGAAGTGGCATACGCCACTTGAAGCGGCATGAAGTGGCATGAAGTGGCATGCTCACTGTGCATGCTCCACTTGAAGTGGCATACGCCACTTGAAGTGGCATACGGCATACGCCACTTGAAGTGGCATGAAGTGGCATGCTCACTGTTTTTGCGCCGCTTGAAGTGGCATGAAGTGGCATGAAGTGGCATGCTCACTGTGCGTGCGCCACTTGAAGTGGCATACTACTACTACTACGACTACTACGACTACTACGACTACTACGACTACTACGACTACTACGACTACTACGACTACTACGACTACTACGACTACTACGACTACTACTACTACTACTACAACTACTACGACTACTACTACTACTACTACTACTCCTGCTACTACTACTACTACTACTCCTGCTACTACTAGTACTAGTACTACTACTACTACTACCACCACTACTACTACTACTACTACTACTACTACTACTACTACTACTACTACTGTACTTATTGCTCTGCCAGTTTGGCTGTTTTCAGGCTACGGGCAAGATGAATGAAACATAATGAAGCAGAAGCAGCTCTGAAAGTGCCTCATGTCAATGCGCAGATGCCAGGAGTCAATAATACAGATGTATGTACGTTGTAACATCCGATCCATGTCAATCAGAAGCTTTGGAAGCTACGTTGTAACATCCACTTGAAGTCACTTGCAAGATGCGCTGGGTGCTACGTTGGACCATCCACTTGAAGTCACTTCCAGGACGCTCTTGATGTATTTTGTAACATCCGCTTCAAAAGAAGCTACGTAACATCCACTTGAAATCACTTGCAGGACGCTCTGGATGTATTTTGTAATATCCATTTCAATCAACTTCCATGAAGCTCTGGAAGCTACGTTGTAAAATGCACGTGAAGGAACTTCCAAGAGGCTTTGGATGCTACGTTGCAATATCCCTTTCAATCAACTCAATAGACGCCCTAGATGCTACGTCGTTATAGCATACATTTCAAGTAACCCCAGAAGGCCGTGGCTACTATGTATACGTTGTAACGTCCGTTTCAAGCAACTCCAAGACGCTCTGGATGCTACGCTGCAACATTTATTCGAAGGCAGTAATAAAAGGCTTTCGATGATACGTTGCAACATCCCTTTCGATCAACATCCAAGACGCTCTAGATGCTACGTTTTAACACTCGTTTCAAGTAACTCCCACAAGGCGGTGCATGCTACGTTGTAACATCCACTTGAAGTCACTTCCAAGACGCTCTGGATCCTATGTTGTAACATCCATTTCAATCAACTTCCAAGAAGCTCTGGAAGCTACGTTGTATCATCCGCTTGAAGTCACTTCCAAGATGCTCTGGATGCTTCGTTGTACCGTTCACTTGAAGTCATTTCACGACACTCTGGATGTATGTTGTAACATCAATTTCAATCAACTTCCTTGAGGCTCTGGATGCTACGTTGTAACATCCACTTGAAGTCACTTCCAAGAGACTTTGGATGCTACATTGCAACATTCCTTTGAATCAACTCAATAGACGCCTTAGATGCTACGGCATAACATAAATTTCAAGTAATTTCCAAAAGGCCGCGGCTACTGCGTTGTAACGTCCATTTCAAGCAACACCAAGACGCTCTGGATGCTACGCTGCAACATCTATACGAAGGCAGTACAAAAGCCTTTCGATGATACGCTGCAACATCCCTTTCAATCAACATCCAAGACGCTCTAGATGCTACGTTATAACACTCGTTTCAAGTAACTCCCACAAGGCGGTGGATGCTACGTTGTAACATCCACTTGAAGTCACTTCCAAGACGCTCTGGATGCTATGTTGTAACATCCTTTTCAATCAACTTCAAAGAAGATCTGGAAGTTAAGTTGTAGCAGCGTTGTAACGTCCATTTCAAGCAACACCAAGACGCTCTGGGTCTACGCTGCAACTTTTATTCGAAGACAGTACAAAAGGCTTTCGATGATACGCTGCAACATCCCTTTCAATCAACATCCAAGACGCTCTAGATGCTACGTTATAACACTCGTTTCAAGTAACTCCCACAAGGCGGTGGATGCTACATTGTGACATCCACTTGAAGTCACTTCCAACACGTTCTGGATGCTATGTTGTAACATCCATTTCAATCAACTTCAAAGAAGCTCTGGAAGTTACGTTGTAACATCCACCCGAAGTCACTTTAAAGATGCTCTTGATGATAGGTTGTAGCGTCCGATTGAAGTCACTTCCAAGACGCTCTGGATGTATGATGTTAAATTGTAACGTCGATGTCAATCAACTTCCTACAAGCTCTGGAAGCTACGTTGTAGCATCCACTTGAAGTCACTTCCAAGATGCGCTGGGAGCTACGTTGTACCCTCCACTTGAAGTCACTTCCAGGACGCTCTGGATGCTACGTTGTAACATCCACTTGAAGTCACTTCCAAGAGACTTTGGATGCTACATTGCAACATCCCTTTGAATCAACTCAATAGACGCCTTAGATGCTACGGTATAACATAAATTTCAAGTAATTTCCAAAAGGCCGCGGCTACTGCGTTGTAACGTCCATTTCAAGCAACACCAAGACGCTCTGGATCTACGCTGCAACATTTATTCGAAGGCAGTACAAAAGCCTTTCGATGATACGCTGCAACATCCCTTTCAATCAACATCCAAGACGCTCTAGATGCTACGTTATAACACTCGTTTCAAGTAACTCCCACAAGGCGGTGGATGCTGCGTTGTAGCATTGTAACATCCACTTGAAGTCACTTCCAAGACGCTCTGGATGCTATGTTGTAACATCCTTTTCAATCAACTTCAAAGAAGATCTGGAAGTTAAGTTGTAGCAGCGTTGTAACGTCCATTTCAAGCAACTCCAAGACGCTCTGGATGCTACGCTGCAACATTTATTCGAAGGCAGTACAACAGGCTTTCGATGATACGTTGCAACATCCCTTTCGATCAACATCCAAGAAGCTCTAGATGTTACGTTAAAACGCTCGTGTCAAGTAACTCCCACAAGGCGTACTACGACTACTACGACTACTACGACTACGTTGTAACATCCACTTGAAGTCACTTCCAAGAGACTTTGGATGCTACATTGCAACATCCCTTTGAATCAACTCAATAGACGCCTTAGATGCTACGGTATAACATAAATTTCAAGTAATTTCCAAAAGGCCGCGGCTACTGCGTTGTAACGTCCATTTCAAGCAACACCAAGACGCTCTGGATCTACGCTGCAACATTTATTCGAAGGCAGTACAAAAGCCTTTCGATGATATGCTGCAACATCCCTTTCAATCAACATCCAAGACGCTCTAGATGCTACGTTATAACACTCGTTTCAAGTAACTCCCACAAGGCGGTGGATGCTACGTTGTAACATCCACTTGAAGTCACTTCCAAGACGCTCTGGATGCTATGTTGTAACATCCTTTTCAATCAACTTCAAAGAAGATCTGGAAGTTAAGTTGTAGCAGCGTTGTAACGTCCATTTCAAGCAACTCCAAGACGCTCTGGATGCTACGCTGCAACATTTATTCGAAGGCAGTACAACAGGCTTTCGATGATACGTTGCAACATCCCTTTCGATCAACATCCAAGAAGCTCTAGATGTTACGTTAAAACGCTCGTGTCAAGTAACTCCCACAAGGCGGTGGATGCTACGTTGTAACATCCACTCGAAGTCACTTTAAAGATGCTCTGGGTGATAGGTTGTAGCGTCCGATTGAAGTCACTTCCAAGACGCTCTGGATGTATGTATGTTGTTAAATTGTAACGTCCATGTCAATCAACTTCCTACAAGCTCTGGAAGCTACGTTGTAGCATCCACTTGAAGTCACTTGCAAGATGCGCTGGGTGCTACGTTGGACCGTCCACTTGAAAGTCATTTCACGACGCTCTGGATGTATGTTGTAACATCCATTTCAATCAGCTTCAAAGAAGCTCTGGAAGTTACATTGTCAAATCCACGTGAAGTCACTTCCAAGAGGCTTTGGATGCTAGGTCAGGTTGCAACATCCCTTTCAATCAAGTGCCAAGGCGCTCTAGATGCTATGGTATAACATACATTTCAAGTCAGTCCGAGAGGCTTTGCATGCTACGTTGTAACGTCTTTCCCAATAAACTCCAAGATGCTCTGGATGCCACGTTGTAACATTTATTACGAAGGCAGTCGGAGAGGCTTTGGATGATACGTTGCAATATCCCTTACAATCAACAACCAAGACGCTCTGGATGCTACGTTATAACACTGGTTTCAAGTAACTCCCACAAGGCGGTGGATGCTGCGTTGTAGCATTGTAACATCCACTTGAAGTCACTTCCAAGACGCTCTGGATGCTATGTTGTAACATCCTTGTCAATCAACTTCCAAGAAGCTCTGAAAGCTACTTTGTAACTACGACTTGAAGCCACTTGCAAGATGCTCTGGATGCTACGTTGGACCGTCCACTTGAAATCATTTCACGACGCTCTGGATGTATGTTGTAACATCCATTTCAATCAACTTCAAAGAAGCTCTGGAAGTTACGTTGTCAAATCCACGTGACTCCTTTGTACTACAAAGCTTGCACAAAGCACTTCCCGGTACTACTGTGCACTACAAAGCTTGCACAAACTACTTCCCAGTAACCGATGTCTACTACAAAAGCTTGCAAAAACCACTTCCCAGTGCTACTTCGTACTACAAAGCTTGAACAAAGCACTCCCCAGTACTACTTTTCCCAGTACTACTTTGTAATACTTGCACAAAGCACTTCCCAGTACTACTTTGTATTACAATGCTTGCGCAAACTACTTTCAGTACTACTTTGTACTACAAAGCTTGCACAAACTACTTCCCAGTACTACTTTGTACTACAAAGCTCGCACAAGCCACTTCCCAGTACTACTTTGTACTACAAAGCTTGCACAAACTACTTCCCAGTACTACTTGTACTTCAAGGCTTGCACAAAGCACTTCCCAGTACTACTTTGTACTACAAGGCTTGCACAAAACACTTCCCAGTACTACTTTGTACTACAAAGCTTGCACAAACTGCTTCCCAGCCAGTACTACTTTGTACTACAAGGCTTGCACAAAGCACTCCGCAGTACTACTTTGTACTTCAAAAGTTGCACAAACCACTTCCCAGTACTACTTTGTACTACAAAGCTTGCACAAAGCACTCGCCAGTACTACTTTGTACTACAAAAGTTGCACAAAACAACTCCCACTACTACTTTGTACTACAAAGCTTGCACAAACCACTTCCCAGTATTACTTTGTACTACAAAGCTTGCACAAAGCACTCCGCAGTACTACTTTGTACTACAAAAGTTGCACAAAACAACTCCCACTACTACTTTGCACTACAAAGCTTGCACAAAGCACTCCCCGGTACTACTTTGTACTACAATAGTTGCACAAAACAACTCCCAGTACTACTTTGTACTACAAAGCTTGCACATGGCACTCCGCAGTACTACTTCGTACTACAAAGCTTGCACTTTAAGTGGCATACGCCACTCGGAACGCGAAGGCTACACAGTCAGCACGCCACTTGAAGTGGCATACGCCACTTGAAGTGGCATACGGCATACGCCACTTGCAGTGGCATACGCCACTTGAAGTGGCATACGGCATACGCCACTTGAAGTGGCATACGCCAATTGAAGTGGCATACGGCATACGCCACTTGAAGTGGCATACGGCATACGCCACTTGAAGTGGCATACGCCAATTGAAGTGGCATACGGCATACGCCACTTGAAGTGGCATACGCCACTTGAAGTGGCATACGGCATACGCCACTTGAAGTGGCATACGCCACTTGAAGTGGCATACGCCAATTGAAGTGGCATACGGCATACGCCACTTGAAGTGGCATACGGCACTTGAAGTGGCATACGGCATACGCCACTTGAAGTGGCATACGCCACTTGAAGTGGCATACGCCACTTGAAGTGGCATACGGCATACGCCACTTGAAGTGGCATACGCCAATTGAAGTGGCATACGGCATACGCCACTTGAAGTGGCATACGCCACTTGAAGTGGCATACGGCATACGCCACTTGAAGTGGCATACGACATACGCCACTTGAAGTGGCATGAAGTGGCATGAAGTGGCAAAATCAAAATCCACCACATTTGCTTGTTCTCTGTTCTATTTGACATATCTTCTGGCATTCGATTTGGCATTCTATTTGTCATATCTTCTGGCATTCTACCTGGCATATCTTCTGGCATATGTTCTGGCATATCTTCTGGCATTCTATCTGGCAAACATTCTGGCACTTTATCTGGCATACCTTCTGGCATTCTATCTGACATTCTATCTGGCATTCTATCTGGCAAATCTTCTGGCGTTCTATCTGGCAAACATTCTGACATTCTATCTGGCATACCTTCTGCCATTCTATCTGACATTCTATCTCTCATACCTTCTGGCATTCTATCTGGCATATCTTCTGGCATTCTATCTGGCATATCTTCTGGCATTTTATCTGGCATATCTTCTGGCATTCTATTTGCCTGTTGAGGTCCAGCGGTGCCCACTGAGATCGGAAGGTCCCAGGTTGAGGTCCAGCGGTGCCCACTGGGCTCTGAAGGTCCCAGGTTGAGGTCCAGCGGTGCCCACTGGGCTCGGAAGGTCCCTGGCTGAGGCCCAGCGGTGCCCACTGCGCTCGGAACCTTGCGGTTGAGGTCCAGCTGTGCCCACTCAGATCGGAAGCCGGCAATTGAGGTCCAGCAGTGCTCACTGCGCGCAGAAGTTGGCGAAGATATTGGCGAAGAGTTGTCAAGGCGGAAGTGGACATGGAAGTGGACGCAGAGGTGGTGGAGGAGAAGCTTGAGGACGAGGGGAAGAAGGAGAAGGAGGAGAAGGAGGAGGAGGAAGAGGAGGAGGAGGAAGAAGAAGAGGAGGAGAACAACTGTGATAAAATCTAACAACCCTCACCTGGCAGGTGGGGAAAAAACGATTCCCCAAACCGAATAGAAAACAAACCACCAAAATACCCTCGACAAAGCGTTAAAAGAGCTGCATGGATTCAGCAGCGCTATCTTGATATTTGCGTTCTTTGTGTATCGCAGTTGATTTCCATTTTTGCGCAAATGCTTTGCCAAAACACGGAGACTTCCCGTGCCGAGGAGTTTGGTGTCTGTTCGAATTTTTCCTGTCCAGCCGTCAGCACTTGGACCTGGTCTTCGTCACCAATGCTGGTGTGGTGGGTGATGCCGCTTGGCGGAAATGGTTTGTCTTAAAAAAATTGGAACCCGGCAACCACTTCTTGTTTTTATGAAAAAAACAGTGTTGGATTGTCACTGTCACTGCAAATGTCGCGGGCAAGTTCTTGGTTCTGCACGAGCGCGAGTGTTCATCAGTTCTGCAAGACAAAGCAAACAAGTTGGCACGCGTCACTTTCGCATTCAAGTGAACTTGTGTAAGCAAGAAGCGGGGCCTGACGGGTTGCAAAAGTACAGAAAGGCCAACGGCCAGTATATTTTGTAATTACGCTGTTAATTCTCCGCCAGCCAGACTGTCGTAAGGTTCTCCTTAGAGGCTTAGTGGGTTAGCTATGACATGGGCCCCACATGAAAATGTACCCTTTGCTGCAGGATGGTTGCAGCTCCTTTGACGTTGCGTTGGAGATGGGCAAGAAGATAGAGTTGTTGCAGGTTGAAACGTGCGAGGCATCTTCGCAGGAAGATAAGAAACTTGATTTCAGCAAAATCCGCACATTTCATTATGAGTTATGAGTTAAACTATAATTTCATTGTGTTTTTGGGGTTGCTGTAGAAACATGTAACTTCGATGTCTTGGTGGCCATAATCTATAAACCGATATTGTGTTTTTCTATGATCCATTGGTTTCAGTGGACCAATTTCGGGATGAAGATCAGCGGGTAATTGCAGGTTGGGTTTCTGCTCTTGAAAACATGTTTTGAATTATAGATATGAAAAGGGCGAGCGACTGATTTTGACTTCACCTGATTTTTTGTGGTTGACTTGAACTTGAACTATAGTTTGTTAGCGTTAAGAGCGTTTTGACTCAAAAGGTGCTTTGTTGTTTCTATTGTGTATGTTGTGTGTGTGTGTTTATGTGTTTTTGTGTGTCTTGTCTTGATTTGTTTGAGCTTACAAATATGTTTTTGCAAAACATGTTTTTTGACGTTTTACAACTGTCAACCAGCCATTACACCATCAATAAGAAGTGATCGGCAAACAGAATAGACACGTGTTCCTTTAACATGTATATCTAGTAATATGTTTCCGTGCTAGTGTGTTTGTTGCTGCTGAATTCACATCACGTGAGTCCTGAGAATTCCATTTCTGGTTAGAAAGCAACTCTAAACTAGAGGCAATCTGCAGGTGACTGACTGAAACTAATACAGAAAGATAACAACCATTTTCTCCTGCTTCACTCACATGACTTTCATTGAAACTTTGAACCGCAGACAACTGGAATTTGGTTGAAATCGAATGAAACCACATGACACTAACGCAAGATTTGATTCAATGCAATCACATTCAACGGTACTGGGTCCACAGTCCAAACTTTGTTGTAGATGAAATATGTGAAGAAGTAAGAACATGATAATATGATAAAATTATAAAACATGAAAAGGAATGTAGACATGATAAGTAATTACACTAGACAATCATGAATATCCGGAAATTATTTACAAACAACCGGCCGGTAGCAAACAATCACCCGGTAGGCCGTTGTTTGGGTTCAAAGCCACAAATCTTATCGCGCATTAAATGGGCTGCATGCATGTCCATAGCCATAGCCTTGTCATCTCGAACATTTTTCTGAAGCCCTCTATTCCGAAGTTTGCCGTATTAAGAAAAACATGTTTACAAAACATGCAACGGTTTCCACATTTGTTTAGTTTATTGAATATGTTTGAACTTAAATGATGGGAACAGTTTTTCATTTTTTGGTTCAGGAACGTTCTATAACCATGTTTCTTTCAGTGGCGGTTTTGCCTAAAAGTGTCGACTCAGTTGCTTGCGATTTTTTTCCCTATATGTGTTTGGGAATGTTTGTTTAAAAAAAAACTATGGGGAGGCTGGTTTTCAAGACGCTTTATTCGCCAATTTTGGGTCTTGTTTGCACCGTGTTTGAGAAGGTAGGTAGATGATTCATGCTGGCAATGTGCCTGTCCAAAATTCTGCAGGTATTTTCCCACAAGCATGGCTGTAGCAAATGTGCCGATAAACATTTTGAACGCACATAGTTCTCATGCAATTTGTGGTTTTCAAATTTCTGGCCAAGAAATGTTGCCACACAACATTGAAACAACAGGTTCCCTATTATATAATATATTATAAGGGATCCAGATACCTTCTCACAGAGTGATCGGTCTAGTGAGAATGTTATCGAGATTGAAATTGCCTCAGAAGTGTAGCAGCTCCAAGACCATTCTGGACCGGGCAAAAGTTTGCTCATTTTTGGCATCTTAGCAACACCAAATGCAAGGATTGTTCAACATTCAGGGCAAAAAGTTGCAAAGATAAAGGTTTTGCAGCTATCTTGCTGCATACAACTTGAACATACTTGAACCATCTTTCAGTCAACATCAAGCATTTTTGGTAGACCCAGATATCCAGTGATGCTCCACAGAAGCGGAATGAAGAATAGCTTCCGACTTGAAAGGTTTGTCAGTTGCATAGCAAGTTCGGGGTGTGTGGTCTTGTTGAAGTGTTTCCATCACTGTAGTTGTCAGTGAAAATCACAAATATCGGAACTACGAAAACACATCCACAGCAATCATACAGGTGATTTGTCACCACGAAAGCATACGAAAGCATGCCACCACGGAGAAGATGCAAGACCTCAACAAAGTAGCAACGAACTTCTTAGACAAATGCTACCATTGTTGCAGAGTTTCGGAGTCCCCTGATACAACGGTGCCTTTTTTTCTGACATGGAAGTACACCTGTTATTGTTGGTTTAATTAGCTGCATGTTGCAGCAGAAATATACGTTTCTGCCCCACAGTGGCCAAAGTAGTCCCAGGCAACAGGTATGGAGACCATGCCAAACAAAATATAACAAAATTATCAGTCAGAAACACTGCAAAGATCTGAAACATTACCAAAAAGTGTCTCATAATGTCTCAACTCTCAAATATGTACTTTGGATCCTTTGGGGCCGTTTTAATTGAAACGCGCGGCAACCAACTTTCTGTCGTGGCCAGGCCAAGTCTTTGACAAACAAGTGATTTCATTTGTTTTCATTTCCAAAACGCACGTATATTTACACTCAAGATTCGGCAATGATGCATCAAAAGCTTTCGTGTTTGGCACTTGGCTTTTCTGCAGCAAAGTTCCCTATGAAGGGTTTCAAATCAGAATATTTTGAGTCAGAGGATCAACCCTCTGGTAAACTAACATAACTATGGAAAATCACTATGCTATTAATGGGAAAATCCACTATTTTTATAGCCATACACCCGTCGGTTATTCCTGGCTAAAATCCCTAGGCTGGAGCCTCGAGTTAAAGTCTTCAAACCTGTTTAGGGATTTCAGTCAGGGAAAATTTGATGTTTGACCCATGGATTTTATCCAGAGCACGGCTTCAAACAATGAGAAGATGTTGGATGCTAGACCAAGGGATTTTATTTCTATGATATATCTATGCTTGTTTGTCAGACCTTGGATTTTATCTTTGGCATCCTTGGCCTAGTTAATAAAATGCCAAATCTCAGCTCATGGGATTTCATCTTGGTGACCTTGGGAATTCCAAAACCTCAAACCTTGGATTTTATTTCCGGCAATGGTTTGGACAGCAGCCGCCCAAGCAGCCTAATAGCCTACACAGACCCGGCACAGCATCCTGCAAAGCACCTTTGCCAGACCTCGCCACCGCAGTCTGGAGAGCAGCCTAGCAGCCTGCACAGCACCCTGCACTGCACCCTGCATAGCACCCTTGCCAAACTTCGCCACAATTCGCCACCGAAGACCTGACCTTTGAGAAGTAAGAACCCCTATAGCTTCCAGCTATCTGTGGAAAAACAAAATTCTAAGAGCAATGGAGCTTCCTTCCTGGAATGAGGCGGCGTGGACATTTGCCTCTGAATCCGGGAAAACACATTGTAAACCGCCTTGCCATAGTCCTTCCCTCGAATTTGCAAGAACAAATTGCTAAAGTACCCCGGGGCCATCTCTAGAATGGTACTCCACTTCTGGCCAACTTGCGGATTTTGCTGCTTGTTGGCACCCTCACTGGCTGGCAGTCGGACATAGCCATTCTCATCAAGAAGTGGCCGGTCAGGGTGCTGCGCAGCGTCGAGTTCCACAAATCGTTGGAGCTCTTGCCTGATCAAGGCATCGCCTTTTTTGAACCTGTTGAAATTCTCCGGTATGGCCTTAGCCAGTAGGAGCGGGCCAAAGATATGAATTACACGCTAAAAAATCTATTGTTGTGGCAAGTGTTCAGAATGTTCAGAATTGGTGGGTGAAATCAAAGCCTCAAATCAAAGCCTAAACATCTAAAACCAAACATATCTAAACAACACATGAGGGTCACCCAAGCTCAACGTCGATCACCCAAGAATCTCGGGCTAGAATCCAAGTCGCTTGAGGTTTTGGGGACTAGCGAAATAAGATCTATGATATTGAAATTCTCCGGTATGGCCTTAGCCAGTAGGAGGGGGCCAAAGATATGAATTACACGCTAAAAAATCTATTGTTGTGGCAAGTGTTCAGAATGTTCAGAATTTGTGGGTGAAATCAAAGCCTCAAATCAACGCCTAAACATCTAAAACCAAACATATCTAAACAACACATGAGGGTCACCCAAGCTCAACGTCGATCACCCAAGAATCTCGGGCTAGAATCCAAGTGGCTTGAGGTTTTGGGGACTAGCGAAGTAAGATCTATGATATTGAAATTCTCCGGTATGGCCTTAGCCAGTAGGAGCGGGCCAAAGATATGAATTACACGCTAAAAATCTATTGTTGTGGCAAGTGTTCAGAATGTTCAGAATTGGTGGGTGAAATCAAAGCCTCAAATCAACGCCTAAACATCTAAAACCAAACATATCTAAACAACACATGAGGGTCACCCAAGCTCAACGTCGATCACCCAAGAATCTCGGGCTAGAATCCAAGTGGCTTGAGGTTTTGCGGACTAGCGAAATAAGATCTATGATATCTATGATATCTATGGCTTCAACCCTGCCAGGCCTTAAATCTTTCTAAATCCCAAGGACTGGGACCAAGTACTGTGACCTGAGGGATCTGAAGGGGCCAAGTTACGAGGATGGTTTTCGAGTCTTTCTCCACCGACTTCTTCACCTTGTCGTGCATATGCTTGACCAAATTTTTCTGCATGGTCGACTTCAAGGTTTTCTGGGAGATCTTCTGGTGGCTGCTGGGTGCAGGATCTGCGGCCTCATCATCCGTGTCATCGATGGTCACAGTGCCATTGTCATCATTGTCATCTTTGCCTGCGTTGGTCATGTTGGTCTTTTGCTTCTTTGCTGTCTTCTTTCGCATCTTTTGCTTTCCTGATGTTCCTGGAATCTCTCGTGTCAACTTCGCAGATCCTTTGGTCCCATGCAAGGCTTTGGGCCAGCTGGTCCATTCATGGGCATGTTTCACTACTTCAAGTGCTTTCGCTGTCAGCGTGACTTGCACTCCATCAGCTCCAAGTTTGGTGTCCGCAATCTGAAGCACCAAGCCAATTGTGTCTGCTGCGACAACCATGGTTTCACCCATGGCAGTTGCCCTGAATGTGCCTTCTGGTTGGTTTTGGACTGGACTCATCTGAAAAACCAAAAGTGGGACAATAGAGGCCGAACAACGGGAGCAATTTGGGAAAGACGGAAAAGGGGGCACGCGTCGCTCGGCACGAGCTGGCATCATCCAGCAATCGGGAACATCAGGCGTTGTCATCAGGCATTGGCTTGGATCTTGGGCCCGTGGTTTTTATCTTGAAGACACTTTTGGCATGTGCTTCTCGGGCCCAGGGATTCTATCTCTAACATATTCTTTCTGATCACTCGTTGGGTTATCTCAAGCCTTTGGATTTTATCTCCAAAACCCTTTGCTGTTTTTTTCATATTTTGCATTGTTTTTACCGTGGGGTCAAGCCAGGGATTCTATCCAGGGCCCTTTGGTCTCAGACCAGCTGGATTCTATCCCAAATCTTGGCTTAAATCCTTGGCTCCAGGCTAAGGTGTATAAGCAACGGGTATTAGCCATTTTCAATAGCTATGTCACAAATTACCAGAGGATCAAAATCACCATTGCTCATGCACAAATGATTCACCATTCCCTCGTGACATTTTTGTGCAATTACTCAACTTGTCAAAGCACTATGACTTGCAGGATTGAACCAAGATCAACGTCATATACTTGACATCTGTTTTCAGTTTTTGATAATATCTATCGTGCTTGACAATTTTTGAAAAGCATCGATATATTCAGACTACTGTAATTCCCGCTTTTTCGGTTGGACCGGCTACGCTGGTGTTTGTCCATCAGCATGAAAATCTAAAACGCTAAGTTTCTATGCACATAGAACAGCACTTCTGGTGTTGAATATACAAGTTGGGTCGATTTTTTTCGTTTTTTGCTTTCTTGCGGGGCATTGGTTTTGCTTGTATGTTGGGGTGGGTCAATGTTGTCTCTACCCTGAGATGATTGCGTGATTTCAGAGCTTGCTCAAGGCAAAACTGGTCACTGTTTTTTTGAGACGGGTTTGAAATCATACGTTCACACCAAATTGTTTTGTGTGACAAAGTGATAGTGTGTGTTTTTGGTTCGTATGACATGATTGAATGTGTTTATCTAAGATTTCTAGTTTGTGTTAAAAAATCTTGATTGTGGCACCAATCCACACTATAACCCAACTGGAGTTTGCTGAAGGTTGATGCCTGGGCCATGTCAGGAAAAACATCTTCCAGTACATCATCTCGGAGTTGGGAAGCCTTGAGCGAATGGATGAGCAAATCCGAAAGCTCATGGCTGAGATGTTGACGCAAAATTTGACCAACATGGAAAAGGCAACTGGAAGTCTTGTGGACCGTCTCGGCCAGGGCAGCGCAACAGTCGCAACAGTGTACGAAGAGCGGTTTTAATCATTGCGTCCGGAATTTTCCAGATCTATTTTACACGTATGTTGACATATTGCAGATATTTAGGACAATTCATGATACACTCAGTAATTTTGTTGAAACTTATTGAGCACGCACAAAGCCGTGACTCCTTCAATAGAGCTGACTCACAAGAGCAGCAATTTTGGATATTGTTAGCATAGCATGGCCGTTCGCAAAGTTACGCAGAGATTGCTTGCTGCCGGTTGCCCAATGGGCTCTGCAACCTTTTGACGTAGCTTGAAACCGAGAAAGGCAGAATGTGTGCTCAGCCATCCAGCCATTTGTTTGGCATTTGGCCCCCTCGGTAATTTATTCAAATTGATTGGGCAAGCATGTTTTCAGGAACCCTTAGTGTCATACAGATTTTGGATGTGATTGACTCCACACCTTTCTCTAGCATGTTGCCCAAATCCACAGAACCCTTTTACTTGTGAAGCTCTCTGAAAAGGATTTTTTGTGTGTAAATGGCAGATATTTGCATTTACTAGTCAGAATCACATGTGATTTTCTACAGTGGCTTTGGCAGCTGTTGCTGGTTTCAGATCCGTGTTGTTTTTCTTGTCCGGCAAGCTGTTGCATCTGATGTCATGGTGCGCCTCCTGAGGATGATCGACCTGGATTGTACGCATCGGCTCGCCATCAGGGACCCAGGCGGGATGGCATAGGACAGGACCAAGGAGGACAAGACAGGCCACGTTTAAAAAGGATTAGATGCGTGGGTTGGTATAGGTTATCATAGGCAGAAATGCCTATGACGAGAGATGTTGTGACACAGATAATAATACGGTAAAGACAATTTAAATATGTGGAGGGCGGCTCAGACCGCGAGGCTCAGGAGGTATTATAAAAAAGCAGTTCGTATATCTAACTGTAGTTACCGTATGTTTAAATGAGTTGGATTCTGTATGTTCAAATGGCCCGGCGGGCCAAGGAAAACCTATTCCCGGAGGTAGTCTAAAATACCTGCTGGTATATTTTAAAATCTATATATTTAAACTTAGTTCCCGTAATAGTTGTCCCTCCTTTGGTGGAATGACGTTCGCGAGGGATTTATTAGAAGCTGCGCAGTGAAAATTCCACATCCAAGAGCCTACGCAAATCATTGGGGCCCTGTCCCCATTTCTGTTGCATCCATGTGGAGTTGATCTCCAGTGGAGTGGCCGAGCTAGCACAGGATCAGCGGTGTAACAACCAGCTGTGGGTTATAAATCTACAGCTTGTAACTGACAGGGTGAGGAAACACAAAAAAAAACACTTGGGGGATGTTCAACGATTGAATTGTCTGGATTTTGTCACGGGCAGGTTGGGGGTCTTCACATTCACGATAGAAACGATGGAAAACGCATTTAATAATGCAAAGGTTTGCAGATCGCAACCATTGCCTCCAATATTCCTATAAACGGAATGGGATGTGCCTACATATCCTAAAATGATCTAAAATTAGGGTTGCTTCCGTTTTGGCCATGTTCAATTCCTGACACATTCCCGAACCACAGGATGTCCATTGATTGATTACCCCCTGAAAAGCAACCTGGAGTCCTGAAAAAATGGAGCCGAAGGATGTTCAACTCATCGAGCATGACCATCTTTGGGAGCCACAGAGGCCATCCAGAATTTGGGGTTCTACCGGGTTCTGCGCGGCATCCAAGTCAGACAAGTGTTTTTTTAACCATGCGGTCATCCACTGGCGCAACAGGAGCTGCTCACAACAGCAACTGCCGCGCTGGCCGGAGACTTGTGCTACCAGTGACAGAAAAGGTGCAGAGCCTTGCAGATTTTGATGTTGCGCTTGCCAAAGTGATTTTTCATTGCCTGATTTTGCATTGACGATGAATTGAAAGTGATTAGATTCTCAGCCTGTGTATGTCAAGTTCTTTGGCTCTCATCCGAGCAACATATTAAACAAAATACATTACTTCATCTTCCAGTCTGTGACTGCACACCAAGCGTCATGTGGTGCCGTGGCTCGAAGGGTTTTGGCTGGCTCTTGTTTGTAGGAAGGATGGAACTTACTCAGAGTTGTTGTGCCTGGTCGATAAAAGGTGCCTGGCGATTTTTCACCGTGCTCACGGTTAAATATAGAATGGGCTAGCGCCCGGGTGCCGCCGACCCCCCCCTATTTGGGGGGTCCTGCAGAGAGAGGGAGAGAGATAGATAGATAGATGGATGGATGGATGGATGGATGGATAGATAGGTAGAGAGATAGAGAGAGAGAGAGAGATAGACAGATAGATAGATAGACAGTTGGATAGACAGATAAGTAGATGGAGAGATAGATGGATAGATAGCTGGATGGATAGATAGATAGATGGATAGATAGATAGAGAGGGAGAGATAGATAGAGGGGGAGAGAAAGATAGAGAGGGAGAGATAGATAGATAGAGAGGGAGAGATAGATACTCCGGCTGGCAAACGGCATGGGAGCTGCAGGGAAGCATTTGGGGGGTTTTGCGGGCGGGCAAACGGCAGGCTTGAACCACCATAAAAGGACAATGCCGAGGCTGGCAAACGGCATGGGAGCTGCAGGGAAGCATTTGGGGGGTTTTGCGGGCGGGCAAACGGCAGGCTTGAACCACCATAAAAGGACAATGCCGGGCTGGCAAACGGCATGGGAGCTGCAGGGAAGCATTTGGGGGGTTTTGCGGGCGGGCAAACGGCAGGCTTGAACCACCATAAAAGGACAATGCCGGGGCTGGCAAACGGCATGGGAGCTGCAGGGAAGCATTTGGGGGGTTTTGCGGGCTGGCAGAGGGCAGGCTTGAACCACCATAAAAGGACAATGCCGGGGCTGGCAAACGGCATGGGAGCTGCAGGGAAGCATTTGGGGGGTTTTGCGGGCGGGCAAACGGCAGGCTTGAACCACCATGAAAGGACAATGCCGGGGCTGGCAAACGGCATGGGAGCTGCAGGGAAGCATTTGGGGGGTTTTGCGGGCGGGCAGACGGCAGGCTTGAACCACCATAAAAGGAAAATGCCGGGGCTGGCAAACGGCATGGGAGCTGCAGGGAAGCATTTGGGGGGTTTTGCGGGCGGGCAAACGGCAGGCTTGAACCACCATAAAAGGACAATGCCGGGGCTGGCAAACGGCATGGGAGCTGCAGGGAAGCATTTGAGGGTTTTGCGGGCTGGCAGACGGCAGGCTTGAACCACCATAAAAGGACAATGCCGGGGCTGGCAAACGGCATGGGAGCTGCAGGGAAGCATTTGGGGGGTTTTGTGGGCGGGCAAACGGCAGGCTTGAACCACCATAAAAGGACAATGCCGGGGCTGGCAAACGGCATGGGAGCTGCAGGGAAGCATTTGGGGGTTTTGCGGGCTGGCAAACGGCAGGCTTGAACCACCATAAAAGGACAATGCCGGGGCTGGCAAACGGCATGGGAGCTGCAGGGAAGCATTTGGGGGGTTTTGCGGGCTGGCAAACGGCAGGCTTCAACCACCATAAAAGGACAATGCCGGGGCTGGCAAACGGCATGGGAGCTGCAGGGAAGCATTTGGGGGGTTTAGGCTTCAACCACCATAAAAGGACAATGCCGGAGCTGGCAAACGGCATGGGAGCTGCAGGGAAGCATTTGGGGGGTTTTGCGGGCTGGCAAACGGCAGGCTTGAATTCCCTGAAAAACAGATGGCAGGGGCATGTAGCTGTAAGAGTTGTTGCCTTGGAGGCCTGCGGAAGCGTTTGGAGGGTTTCAGGCCGGTCAAACGGCAGTCTTGAACTCCCTGAAAAACAGATGGCAGGGGCATGTAGCTGTAAGAGTTGTTGCCTTGGAGGTTTGGAGGGTTTCAGGCCGGTCAAACGGCAGGCTTGAACTCCCTGAAAAACAGATGGCAGGGGCATGTAGCTGTAAGAGTTGTTGCCTTGGAGGCCTGCGGAAGCGTTTGGGGGGTTTGAGGCCGGGCAAACGGCAGTCTTGAACCCCCTGAAAAACAGATGGCAGGGGCATGTAGGTGTAAGAGTTCGGCAGGAGCATGTAGATGGCTGGGGCATGTAGCTGGCAGAGGTGTTGCCTTGATGGCGTGTGCCTTTGCTTGCGACCCGAGAGCCAAGTTCCACACCTCCGGTGGTCCCAGGCGCCGCCCCTGCCTTGGCAAAGGCCGGGGTCGGCGGATATACTTGCAGGAAACTTAGCCATTAATCCATTGGTTGCAACCACCAACCAGCCACTGTGAAAATGTCTTGAAGTGTTGCAGGTTCCCTCAGGCCCCAGCATAGCTTCTTTCAGAAAATGAAACAGCCTAGCAGCTGATGGACAGCGATGCGGAGGCGGTGGTGCAGTGATTGAGCCAGTGACTCATCAAACAGAAAATGTGTGGTGACACTGATGCCAAGCATCTTCTTAGGCATCTTCCTGGCCGCCCCGCTCAATGTCTTAAAACTTCAACAGGTTTGTAGCACTGCTCATGAGCTTCAGGACCACTGTGCGCTACCCATAGCTGGTACATCATCGCAACCTTTTCCTGCATAGCTTTACCTGCTGGCCTCAATGTTATCTCATATACACCAGCTGAATCAGCCAGATGAGCGCGTGGACATGATCCATGACAGAGTCTTCAATAGGATGCAGCATTCAAACTGTACGGTGAGCACAGCCACAAAAAGCTTGACGATATGCCGCGTGACGCCATGATGCAGTTGCTCTTGGCGACGTTTTTCTTCGTCTTTTCCTTGGTGGCCTTTGCTGAGCTGCACGTCTGGAACAGGAGCACGTTCACTGGACTCAGACTCGAGAGCCCCTTGGCTGCTGCAAACTACCCAGATGCCCGTCTTGGCCGGTCCGTTTCGTTGGAAGAAAGGATTCTTCCACATTTTTCCTTTTCCATCCTTTTCCTAGATTGCAAAACATGTCCAAACATAACTAGAGTTGGTGTGTTACATCGTCCTGATGTCTAATTTGTGGCCACGGCCAATCTTTGGCACAGAAGTTTCGAAATCATTTAGCGAAGTGGCACACAACTCCAACGCCCCATGTTTTTGTGAGATGAAAAGACATGGTGCCGCATGAGGCCAAAAACTATTGTCAATTTCTTTGGACTTTTATAGAGTCACTTTACCCTGCGCACCGACCTTCAGAAAGAGCGAGCACCAGACATCTGCAGGTGGGCCTTGAGGTTCACAAAAAATCGATGTTTTGTCGTGCTCTGTTCTCATTGTTTTCATATTCATATGTATACATTAATTAGATCAGATGTTTCTACACCGCAATGATATGCCAGTTTTTTTTATATGTTAGAGTATGTTGGAGTATCTTCCCAGCAGAAGTCAGATAGACACGATTGCAGGACTGTGAAGTGATTGGCTGGGCGGAGCTTTGTGAACGGAAAAAGATGACGGCCGGGTCGTGCTTTCAACTCGAGCGGCTCAGTCATAGGGGGTCGGAGGACTGTGATGCTTGCGTGTTTGTTGCAGGCAGGCTGAATAAGTCGTTGTTGGGCAAAGGTTGATACATGTTGTATACTGAATTAGCTACTGAACATCGGATCGGATGGTTCTGTCTTTACAGTTCCTGTTGAAGACATACTTGAAGCTTTCCCTCATTTCCATTTGTAGAGGTGTCTGTTGCACTGCTTTCCTAAATATTTCCGAAGCTTTCAGTATTTTTTAGGGCAACTATGATCTTTTCCAAAGATCTCCCTGGCCTAGCAGAAACTTTGGAGCCAAAACCGAGGCCCACTGTGGCAGCTCCTCCGTGCGAGCTGCAGGGGCCCCATGGGGCACCCGCGCAGCTGCGCCCAGCAGCAGGGGAAATTTTGACCTTGACCTCCGGGGAGCTGCGCATCACCGGGTGCCTTGGAGGAATTCTGTTTGGATACGTTTGATGGTGAGGTGGGAGATTGGGAGGCAGTATTCAAGTTGCTTTGGGCCCGCATGGCTGTCTAGAAGTGCTTGGCAAACTTCGTTCTTCAGAAACTTCGCACAGCTCCCAAGGCAAATTCAGATGACTTCGCTCCGCCTGCAAGCCAAGAACCTTGCGCTGTACACAGCGAGTTCAAAACTATTTGTGGTTAGATGATGTTATTGGACAGATTTTCTTATAGACTGCTGCAAAAAGACACACGGACAATTGCAAGGGAGTTCGGATTTCTTTTTTTGGCAGATGTCAGAGCGCCATGTGAGACCACGAATCTCTACACGAAGAATTCAACTGAGGACTCTGAACTTTGCAGATGCTAACGTGGAAGCGTGGCATGAAGGTCCATCGGATCCAAACTCTACCGCAACTGGTGGCGCCTTTTTCAGCGAGGGGTCGTTCACTTTGACAAGATCCCATCTGACAGCTCCTTGGACTTGGTTTTTAATCTGGTGTTTGATCTCTTGCGTCAGAAAGGAATTATTGAAACTGCATGGTCTAGGATCTTGGATAACTTGAGAGTACTGTAAGATCATGTAAGATCTGTCTGTAAGCTGTTGAACACTGGCTGTGGACCCGAAGTTAGGAGCCTGCAACATACAACGAAGGTGAGAGGCGCTGCAGCCGACATCGGCGGTGGCTTCGTAGCCCGGGGAGACATGATCCTGGACGGCATAGCGTGGTGCAGATATAGTGATTGGATGTCATTGGATATCATTGGGCTCTGGATACTGTGGGATGCAGTCCAAGCAGTGTCCAGTTCAATTTTATCAACATGGTGAGAATGTGTCAGCGGGGAGGTGTTCATTTTGGTTCTGAACAGGGAGTCAGCCGCATTGCTCTGCATTGTTTCTTTCTTCTCTCTTTGGCACGTAACAGTGAGTTGGCTGCATTGTTTCTTTCTTCTCCCTCAGGCACCTCAGTATTTCCTGCATGGTATGCAAGTTTTGAGATGAATCAGGCTGGCTAAGAAGCACAACGTATCACATTTGAAACGAAAAGGCCATTGATTGCAGAAGGGTGCGTCCATGCCATTCAGTTGTGGTTTACATGCAATATTGCGGAGGCCGTAATGGGTTTTCATGAAAGAGAGAACACGAGTAGATTCAAGGAATTACAAGCACAGTGGAGAGCAATGTGCAAGTTGTTGGTGCTTCCTTTGGCACCTGGGCCAAGAGCACGATTGCATTTTTTTGGTTGATAAGATGCAATGACATTCTGCCCCCAAGGGGCGTGTTCCACTCTAAAGTCGTGATCCAAAACGTTTCAGCGAAGCAGTCGGGTGGTGGTTTCTTTGTCCAGGGAAACGTGTACATTTCTGCCGGGTACTCAGTGCATTCGCTGCATACTGGGGAGCTGTGCACATGGATGCAAAACAGTTTCATTCACGACGCGTGACATTCACCCCATGGGATTCTTTCTCACTTTCGGGGAATGTTGCCATTACAGTGTTTCTTTCAAAGACCTTGGTCCTTGTGCTATTCCTGACTGGGTCAGGACAACTCAGTAATCTTGATTCAGAACGCCAGATCCACCGAGAGCGGAGGAGGCTTCTTGACCAAAAAAGGCTTGCGAGTGTCCAACGGCTCAGTTGTCAGCCTTGAGAACGTGGCCGCCAGAAGACATGGAGGAGGTTTCTTTGCCCTTGGAGAGGTTGAGATAGCTGGGAACTCGACAGTCAACATATCCAACAGTCGTGCTGAATCAGGAGATGGGGGAGGCTGTTACATTCACAAGGGCTTGAATGTGTCCACTGGCTCAAGACTCGTCATTTGGAATGCAGAAGCTGGAAATAACGGAGGAGGATTCCTTGCGAAAAACAAGACGCTGATCAACAGCGCCACAGTGAACATCCAACATACCACAGCCCAGCACGCTGGTGGAGGTTTCCTCGCAGTTGAGGTTGCGATTGACGGGATGTCAACTGTCAGAATTTCCAATTCATCGGCAAAACAGGGCGGAGGATTCCACACGGATAGCTACGTGGAGGTGACCGATGGCTCATTTCTCAACCTTGAGAACGTGGCCGCCAGAAGCCATGGAGGAGGTTTCTTTGCCCTTGGAGAGGTTGAGATAGCTGGAAACTCGACAGTCAACATATCCAACAGTCGTGCTGAATCAGGAGATGGGGGAGGTTTTGATGCTGAAAAGGGCTTGAATGTGTCCACTGGCTCAAGACTCATCATTTGGAATGCGGAAGCTGGACAGCATGGAGGAGGTTGTTGTGCCCAAGGCAGGATCGTGATCAGCAGTTCCACCCTTAGCATTCAAGATGCCACAGCCCAGCAGCTTGGTGGAGGGTTGTATGCATATGATGAAATTGTCATTGACAGGATGTCGAATGTTAGCATTTTCAGTTCAATAGCAGAACAGGGTGGAGGCTTCCACACGAATAGCTACGTGGAGGTGACCGACGGCTCATTTCTCAACCTTGAGAACGTGGCCGCCAGAAGCCATGGAGGAGCTTTTGTTTCCCTTGGAGAGGTTGAGATAGCTGGGAACTCGACAGTCAACATATCCAGCAGTCGTGCTGAATCAGGAGATGGGGGAGGCTGTTACAGTCAAAAGGGCTTGAATGTGTCCACTGGCTCAAGACTGACTATTCGGAATGCGGAAGCACAGGATGGAGGAGGTTGTTATGCCCAAGGCAGGATCGTGATCAGCAGTTCCACCCTTAGCATTCAAGATGCCACAGCCCAGCAGCATGGAGGAGGGTTTTGTACATCTGATGAGGTTGTTATTGACAGGATGTCAAATGTTAGCATTTTCAGTTCAATAGCAGAACAGGGTGGAGGCTTCCACACGAATAGCTACGTGGAGGTGACCGACGGCTCATTTCTCAACCTTGAGGACGTGACCGCCGGAAGCAGCGGAGGAGGTTTCAGTGCCATTGGAGAGGTTGAGATAGCTGGGAACTCGACAGTCAACATATCCAACAGTCGTGCTGAATCAGGACATGGGGGAGGTTGTTATGCCCAAGGCAGGATCGTGATCAGCAGTTCCACCCTTAGCATTCAAGATGCCACAGCCCAGCAGCTTGGTGGAGGGTTGTATGCATATGATGAAATTGTCATTGACAGGATGTCAGATGTTAGCATTTTCAGTTCAATAGCAGAACAGGGTGGAGGCTTCCACACGAATAGCTACGTGGAGGTGACCGACGGCTCATTTCTCAACCTTGAGAACGTGGCCGCCAGAAGCCATGGAGGAGCTTTTGTTTCCCTTGGAGAGGTTGAGATAGCTGGGAACTCGACAGTCAACATATCCAGCAGTCGTGCTGAATCAGGAGATGGGGGAGGCTGTTACAGTCAAAAGGGCTTGAATGTGTCCACTGGCTCAAGACTGACTATTCGGAATGCGGAAGCACAGGATGGAGGAGGTTGTTATGCCCAAGGCAGGATCGTGATCAGCAGTTCCACCCTTAGCATTCAAGATGCCACAGCCCAGCAGCATGGAGGAGGGTTTTGTACATCTGATGAGGTTGTTATTGACAGGATGTCAAATGTTAGCATTTTCAGTTCAATAGCAGAACAGGGTGGAGGCTTCCACACGAATAGCTACGTGGAGGTGACCGACGGCTCATTTCTCAACCTTGAGGACGTGACCGCCGGAAGCCATGGAGGAGGTTTCAATGCCCTTGGAGAGGTTGAGATAGCTGGGAACTCGACAGTCAACATATCCAACAGTCGTGCTGAATCAGGAGATGGGGGAGGCTGTTACATTCACAAGGGCTTGAATGTGTCCACTGGCTCAAGACTCGTCATTTGGAATGCAGAAGCTGGAAATAACGGAGGAGGATTCCTTGCGAAAAACAAGACGCTGATCAACAGCGCCACAGTGAACATCCAACATACCACAGCCCAGCACGCTGGTGGAGGTTTGCTCGCAGTTGAGGTTGTGATTGACGGGATGTCAACTGTCAGAATTTCCAATTCATCGGCAAAACAGGGCGGAGGATTCCACACGGATAGCTACGTGGAGGTGACCGACGGCTCATTTCTCAACCTTGAGAACGTGACCGCCGGAAGCAGCGGAGGAGGTTTCAGTGCCATTGGAGAGGTTGAGATAGCTGGGAACTCGACAGTCAACATATCCAACAGTCGTGCTGAATCAGGACATGGGGGGGGTTGTAATGCCCAAGGCAGGATCGTGATCAGCAGTTCCACCCTTAGCATTCAAGATGCCACAGCCCAGCAGCTTGGTGGAGGGTTGTATGCATATGATGAAATTGTCATTGACAGGATGTCAGATGTTAGCATTTTCAGTTCAATAGCAGAACAGGGTGGAGGCTTCCACACGAATAGCTACGTGGAGGTGACCGACGGCTCATTTCTCAACCTTGAGAACGTGGCCGCCAGAAGCCATGGAGGAGCTTTTGTTTCCCTTGGAGAGGTTGAGATAGCTGGGAACTCGACAGCCAACATATCCAGCAGTCGTGCTGAATCAGGAGATGGGGGAGGCTGTTACAGTCAAAAGGGCTTGAATGTGTCCACTGGCTCAAGACTGACTATTCGGAATGCGGAAGCACAGGATGGAGGAGGTTGTTATGCCCAAGGCAGGATCGTGATCAGCAGTTCCACCCTTAGCATTCAAGATGCCACAGCCCAGCAGCTTGGTGGAGGGTTGTATGCATATGATGAAATTGTCATTGACAGGATGTCAAATGTTAGCATTTTCAGTTCAATAGCAGAACAGGGTGGAGGCTTCCAGACGAAAGGGCGCCTACAGGTGACCGACGGCTCATTTCTCAACCTCGAGAACGTGACCGCCAGAAGCCATGGAGGAGCTTTTGTTTCCCTTGGAGAGGTTGAGATAGCTGGGAACTCGACAGTCAACATATCCAACAGTCGTGCTGAATCAGGAGAGGGGGGAGGCTGTTACAGTCAAAAGGGCTTGAATGTGTCCACTGGCTCAAGACTGACTATTCGGAATGCGGAAGCACAGGATGGAGGAGGTTGTTATGCCCAAGGCAGGATCGTGATCAGCAGTTCCACCCTTAGCATTCAAGATGCCACAGCCCAGCAGAATGGAGGAGGATTCATTGCAAATGATGAGATTGTCATTGACAGGATGTCAAATGTTAGCATTTTCAGTGCAAGAGCAAAACAGGGTGGAGGCTTCCTAGCCAATGAACACTTGCATGTGTCCACTGGCTCAAGACTCATCATTCGGAATGCGAAAGCTGGACAGTATGGAGGAGGATTCTACGTGCACGGTAGAACTTTGATCAGCAGTTCCACTATGAGCATTTCAAGGTCAAGTTCAGGAAGGCAGGGTGGAGGCTTCCAGACGAAAGGGCGCCTACAGGTGACCAACGGCGCATTTCTCAACCTTGAGGACGTGACCACCGGAAGCATCGGAGGAGCTTTTATTGTTTCCCGTGGAGAGGTTGAGATAGCTGGGAACTCGACAGTCAAGATATCCAATAGTCGTGCTAAATCAGGAGATGGGGGAGGCTGTTACATTCAAAAGGGCTTGAATGTGTCCACTGGTTCAAGACTCGTCATTTGGAATGCGGAAGCTGGAGAGCATGGAGGAGCCTTTCGCACTGGAGAGGGCTTGAATGTGTCCACCGGCTCAAGACTCATCATTCGGAATGCGAAAGCTGGAAAACAGAGTGGGGGCTTCCAAAGTGGACGCCTACAGGTGACCGACGGCTCATTTCTCAACCTTGAGGACGTGACCGCCGGAAGCCATGGAGGAGCTTTTGTTTCCCTTGGAGAGGTTGAGATAGCTGGGAACTCGACAGTCAACATATCCAACAGTCGTGCTGAATCAGGATATGGGGGAGGCTGTTACATTGAAAAGGGCTTGAATGTGTCCACTGGCTCAAGACTGACTATTCGGAATGCGGAAGCACAGGACGGAGGAGGAGGATTCTACGCCAAAGGCGAGACCTTGATCAGCACGTCCACACTTAGCATTCAAGATGCCAGGGCCCGGCAGCTTGGTGGAGGGTTTTTGGCCACAGGACGAGTAGTTATCAAGGCATCTACAGTGGACATGTTCAGCACCTATGCGGGGGCAAATGGTGGTGCTTTTGCTGTGATTGCTTTGAGTCTGCACGCAAGTTCGATGTCCATCAGCAACTCCACTGCACTGGGATCAGGCTCCGGAGGTCATGCAGATGGTCAAGTGCTTCTTTCAGCACAGTCTACTTTGGTGGTGAAGCATGCCAAAGGGGTGGTGAAGCATGCCCAAGGTCCCGACACTTCCAGCGTCCTCTTTGCAGGTTGCTTCCACATGCTTGATCGGTCACACATGCTCTTTGAAGATGTCGCCGGTGGCCATGGGGTGGAGCTTCAAAACAGTGGGTGCTCTGCCCATTGCTCAAACAGCACCTTCCATGTTGCAGAGGATGCAGCCCTCAACGCCAGTGGCCGCTTGAGTTCGGGTTTTCTTTCCCTTGCAGCCTGCCCGAAGGAGGAGGAGGTACGTCTCTCGGGCATCCACCTGCACTCCTGGTCCAGCGCGTTGCTCAGCACTCGCCCAAGCTACGTGGTGGTTGACCAAGTGAGCGTCGAGTACAAACCACCGGTCAACAATATG